CTTACTACAGTTTTCATAAAGCTTCCTGACTTCCCGCCTTCACTTACATATCCTTGTCCTCTCTCTTGCATCCTGACCTTCTCTCCCCTATCTGCCTCGCTGACTCTACACCCGGACACATCTCTGGCCTGCATGGCTCAGCCCCACCTCTGCTGCCTTTCAGCTTTGGCCCATTTTCTCCTACCTTTCCTGGCTCCATTCTAGAACTGACTTCATTTCATTCAACAGGCATTCACTGAAAGTCTATCACGTGCCTGCTCTGTGCTGACAACAATCCCACTGGCCTTTTCACAGGCATTGTCCTCCTCTGTTCTGTGATACTCCTGGGTGACTAGGGCAGGAATTCTATCTATCTTGATGCTGGGTTGGGACAAGAGAGGTTAAATAATTTGTGTAAGGTCACATAGCCAGCCTGGCCACTAGGCCATGGAGAATCTCCCCTCGGTCTTTAACATGCAGCTCTTTGAATAACAGAATCTCACAGATGGTTAAAAATGGAGAGCACCCCACTCTGGCCCTGCAGCTGTGAAAAGTACCTGGTCTAGCTATCCTGTTTTACGGTATGACCTTTGCCCACCAGGTTGTTTAATGTGGTGCATGGTCTAGCACAGGGCCACATGTGGCCTTCTAGGTCCTTAAGTGCGGCCTTCTGACTGAATCCAAACTGGCCTTAAAGTTCACTTCACTTGGGGGTCTGAAGATGTGGAACACTGAGTAGAATGGCAGGTTTGTTGGATGTACTGATTGCTTTGGCTGAATTTTTTTCCTTCTCTTTTTTTAAAAATAGCTATTTATTTATTTGTTTTTAGTTTTCAACATTAACTTCTCTGAGATTTTGAGTTCTAAATTTTCTCCCCCTCCTTCCCCTCCCCCCCAAGACGGCATGCAACCTGGTATAGGCTCTACACGTATAATCATATTAAACATATTTCTACATTAGTCATGTCATAAAGAAAAATTAGAACCAAAGGGAAAAACCATGAGTCTTTCTCTTTAAAAAATATTTTTTTTTGTTCCCTCCCTCCCTTTCTGCCTCTGTCCCTTTCTTAAAATTGTCTTAAAGTATGGCTCTCTGGGAGGGGGAAAGAGAGGGACACAGGAGGAAATCTTAGTGACAGAAAAACAAAAGATCTCCCCCAAAAAATCTATCATTCTTTTAAAACTCCAGATTACTTATCATTCCCTGAACTAGCTTTGCCAATTCTGTGCCCCCCTCCACACAGACAGTTTCCTCCAGCTCCCTAACTCCCACCTTCATCCTTCCAGATAAAAGAAAAAATGGCAGTCTTTGCCCTAAGGCACAGCTATATGAGAATCATTCCCAAATTTTCATTTTCGACCCCTCCATTTGCCCAGGGGAAATCTCTACTTCCATGTCCTACTAACCAGAAACTAAACATTCCCAAGATAAGTCTCCACTACCTCTCCCTTTAAACATTCCCAAAGGCTCTGTCACCTTTCTATAAACATTCCCCAGAAAGGGCTGGACCACTTTTCTACTTTAAGCAGGCACCTCTTTCATGTTTCCCTAATCTTGCCAATATCATCCACCCAAACCACCAGGCTTGCCAGACTAGAAATAATTCTTGTTCTTCCCCTTCCTTCTCTGCTCTCCCCACTCAACCATTAGGGAAAACCAGAAGCACTATAACTGGATGCACAGGATTCATAGTGGCCAGAATTAGGGAGGTGATTGGTGTTTATCTTGGAGAAGAAAATTGACTAACAAACTTCTAAGCAATTACTATGTGCCATGAGCTAGGGATTAAAAAACAAAATCAGACAGTTTCTACCCTCAAGGTGCTTATACTCCATGGCTTAGGGAAGGCAGGGGATGAGAGTTATATCTTCCAGTATTAGGACAATATGGAAGAGGGTATAGACTTGGCCCCAGAGGCCAGACTTAGGACCAATGTACTGAAACTATAGAGAAGCTCATTTCATTGGTGGAGAAAATCTTTTAGTTATTCAAACTCTCCAACAGGGGAATGGGCCGACCCAGGCAGGAGTCAGTGGGTCTCAGGCAGAGGCTGCATGACCGCCATGTTTGGGATTCATGTTTGGGTAGCAACCTGGATGAGAAGATCTCTAGAAGAGCTCCTATGATACAAAATCCCACAAGTGCTTCCAGTGGATTCTGCTCGTATGAATGTCTCACTTTACTCCTTTCCACAGACAGTTTCTCCAGCATCTCCTTTTCCTTTCATCTAGAAACACTCTGAAGAAATGACCATTTCCTTGTGGCTGTTGGGATGTGTATCTAAGTGGCACAGTGGATAGAGCCCTGGGCCGGGGCTCAGGAAGACCTGAATTCAAATGTGGCCTCAGATCCGTACTAGTTACGTGACCCTGGTCAAGTTACTTAACCTCTGTTTGCCTCTGTTCCTCAAGCGGAAAAAGGAGATCATAACAGTAAATACCTCCCAGGGCGGTTGTGAGGCTCAAATGAGATAATGTTTGTAAAGTGTTTAACACAATGCCTGGCACACAGTCAGTGCTTCATAAATGCTCTTTCCCTTATCTACTTCTTTAATATGGTATTAAGAATCCACATATGAAGAGTTCCCCTGTGTTTTTTCTTTTTGGTGAGGCAATGGAGGTGAGTGACTTGCCCAGGGTCACACAGCTAGTAAGTGTCAAACGTCTGAGGCTGGATTTGAACTCAGGTCCTCCTGACTCCAAGACCAGAGCTCTATCCACTGTGCCACCTAGCTGCCCCTGGGTTTTTTATCTTTTAAGGGGAAGGAGGGAGGCAAAGGCAATCAGTTATTTTGGGTGGAGTCTTGCAAATGTGGGAGACTCAGGGCAGCTGGAAACACTGGTTTCAGAAGCTGGTGGGAGCTGCCAGAGGGGACCTCAAGACTGTGGCAGGGGCTGAGTGCGGAAAGGAATTACTGAGCTGGCATTTTCCCTCAGGCGTGATGGCGGGAATACTAGGCTGTCCGGTCTGGTAATACCCAGATGGAGGGGGCTTGTTAGCCTATGAAGTCTGAGCTGTCCAGAGAGCCACAGATCTAGAGATGGAAGGGGTGTCCAAGCTGTTCGTCCAACCACCTCGCTAGACAGATGAGGAAAGAGAGGCCCACGGAGCTTAAGCGACTTGTCCAAGGTCACATAAGCAGAGTCAGAGGCTGAATTCAAACTCGGGTCCTCTGACTCCAGAGGCATTATTCTTTCAGTTGCATTATGCTGTATCCCGGGAACTACGGGGCTTTAAAATGAGGTTCTTCTACTCTGTAATCTCACAGTTCTGTATTCCATGAGTTTTTCTTTTGCCTTCCACACTTACCTTAAAAAAAAAAGCCCATCAAGGAAGCTACCTTCGGTCTTGGCATGATACAACAGGAGAGGGGAGGAAGGGGGCACTTAGATCGAGGAAGGACTGGTGGCAGTCCCTTACCTCTCTGTGCCTCAGCTTCCTCATCTATGAAGTAGGGCCACTAAAAGCATCTACCTACTTCCCAGGGTTGGGGACTGGCATTTTATAGAGCTCTTCAACATTTGCAAAGTTCTTTACAAACAACTCACTTGATCCTCACAACCACTTTGGGAGGTAGATGCTTTTATTCGCCCCATTTCACAGATGAGGAAGCTGAGGCACAGAGAGGTAAGTGATGTGCGGAGGCAGAGCAGAATGAGGGCCGGGACCAGGCTATGATATGAGTGGAAGCTACAAATGCCTTCTTTATTCAGCTCCCATAATCCTCCGGGAGGCTCCGTAGCTGGGGCACAGGATTCCTGAACTGTCATCTGTCCTCAGGCTGCCCTACGCTTTGGTGCTAGCAGGACCTGTCCTTGCACAGTACTTAAAAAATGCTTAGATAACCACCAGATGGAACCACAAGTGATTACTAATTAATCCAGAAACCTTTTCCCACTGGGCTGTTGCCAGGGTGAAGGGGCCCATGGACAGAAGAACAGGCAACAGGAAGGTTAGCATTAACTAAATTATATTCGTCAGCCTGCAGAGATGAGGGCATTCGGGGCCACGTGGACCCCCCGGGCTGGTGTGATCCTGGAGAAGGCACCTGCTGGCTCTAGATTCTGTGATCTTGTAAGAACAATGTGTGTGTGGGGGGTGGGCATCCATGGAGAGGCCAGGACTAAAGAAAGGGAAGGGGATGGAGTGCCATGCAGAGCTCAAGCCTGCCCAATCTGACTCAGTAAATGAGCATAAAAAGAAACTATTCTGAAGCGGATACAAGTAGCCTCGTTCCATTAACGGCACAGACCCACGGAGAGTAACTCATTAGAACTAGCTCTGGGAGGCCCTGCCTGCCGCTGATAGGCACAGATCCTGCCCTTGGGCCTGGCAGAGAGGCATCTCTTCCGGGGAGGACCTTTTTACTTGTGATGCACATCTGGGGCTTCCCTCCCCAAAGAAGATGGCCTTGGGCCGACAGAAGGGATTTGGGGTGAACCCGGGTTAGTGCCACATGGTTTCACTCTAGCTCTGTCTGAGAGAAGCACTGGAATGACCAGACTATTCAACAAACACCTCTCAGGGACCTACTATGTGCAGAACACTTGGTTAGTAAGGACGTATGGGCCTACTACGTGCAGAACACTGCATTAGTATGGACTTACAGGCCCACCGTGTGCAGAACACAGGGTTAGTTAGCACAGACTTACAGGCCCACCGTGTGCAGAACACAGGGTTAGTAAGCACAGACTTACAGGCCCACCGTGCGCAGAACGCAGGGTTAGCACGGACTTACAGGCCCACTGTGTGCAGAACACAGGGTTAGCATGGATTCACGTCCTGTGCTTTTAGATTTGTGGCCCTCGGCACATCAATTCATCTGCTGAGTTTTCTTGTCTATGAAATGGGAATAATACTAAGTATATTCTCTTACGTACAAGGCTGGCGTAAACCTCAGGGGGCTAAAGTTATGCCTATTTCTTCCGTCCCCTCTGAGGTATGGGTGGACGTCAAAGGTGGCTGGCCGCTGGCTGGGGAGGACCGATAGCCTGCTTCTCCTGCTGGGGCTGCCACTGACCTGGGACTTTGGCTAAGTCACCGGTTCCCTCCTGTGTGCCAGTGAGGATGAGAAGGCCAGATGAAGGTCCTGCCAGGCCCCTTCCAGTGCTGCCAAGATGCTCTCTGATGGCTGGAGAGAATGGGAGCAGCTCAGGCTAACAAGTCTTCCTTGACCCTCAGGAAAACTTGTTACATCCAAGAAGCATCCTGGCACAAGTCAGGGAGCTGGAGAAGGAGTGAGGAGGGAGCTGGGTTCAAATCCTGCCTTTGACGCTTACTAGCTACATGATGCTGAAGAAATGATTTCTTTTTAGGCCTCAGTTCACTCATCTGTAAAACGTAGACAACCTCTGTAAGACTTCCTTGGAAGGACTGTTGTGCCCAGCTGGCAGTGAAAGCCCTTCCCAGCTTATTCTCCTCCACATTCTCCCACCCTAGCAGAGGAGCTGCTGTCTTTCATACATCATGCTCTCTCTCCCCCAAGTCAAGCCTTTGCCCTGGCAGTGCCCCCTGCCTGGAACGCCATCCCTCCTCATTTCTGCCTGGGACAAACCCTGGCTTCCTGGGGGGCAGGGGTTGTTTTTGCTTTCCCAGAGTGCCCTCAGCAAAACGCCTGGCACATAGGAAGTAAACACTTCACGAATGCCTTCAGACTGACACTCTGCATTGTTCTAACTCAGAAAGGTGAATTTTCTCCAGAACTCTCTGGCAGATGCCTCTTAACCTTAAAAGGCCAGACATTATATTATCAATGAGGGAAGCTCCAATCTTGGCCAGAGGGGAGAGTGGGGCTGCCTGGGACTGGGGAGGGGGTGTTTAAGAGCCAGGAGACACATGCACTTGCTCTCTCTCCAGCCCAGAGCCTGACTCATGGTCAGGTGGAAGGCCACGTCTAGAGTTGGGATCACCCCGCCCTGCGAGGAATCTGAGCACAGAGCTCTTCTGACCACAAAGGCTGGAACTCCAGAGATGTGGAATTCGCTTGCGATGAAATCAGAAACTCAGACATTTAGAGTTGGAAAGGACCTCAGAGGCCTTTAGTCTGCAAGGCCACCCTGCCTGGCCAGTCCCAGGACCAGAACGCAAGTCTTTCTGGTTCTAAGATCAGCACTCCCATGCACTGGAAGATGCCTCTGGGGGAGGGATTGAGGAAAGAAGAATGGGGGGGGAGGGGTTGGATCCTCACAACAAGCTTGGGAGGTAGGGGTTGTTATTATTCCCACTTTCCAGTTGGGGAAACTGAGGCAGACCTAGCTGTGGCTTGCTCAGGGTCACACACCTAGAAAGCAGCTGAGGCCAAGTTTGGACTCAAGCCTTTGGACTTGTGCTCTACCCACTGAGCCGCCCAGCTGCCATCTGAGTCTTATTTGATCCTCACTTAGCACGCTCTTGTTAAGCAGGCCTGTAGATTGTATCCCCAGCTCTGCCCCCTCTCCCCTCTCCCAGATGTGATCACGTAACTGCCCCCTCTCGTTCAGTGGCACCCTTATTATCTCCAGGATCAAACAGAAAATAAGGCCCTTCACACCGTTCCAGTCTTCTTACACTTTCTTCCTCCTCCACGCTGGTCTTGCTGTTCCCGGAACACAGAACCCTGTCTCCTACCTCCAGGCCTTTGCCCTGGCTGTGCCCCATGCCTGGAACCCTTTCCTTCTTCACCTCTGTTCTGTGCTTCCCCGGCTTCCTTCAAGATTCAGTTCAAATCCTAGCTTCTTCAAAAGGCCTTTCCTGTCCCCGCAGCCTTCCCTTCTGAGATGACCTCCCCTTTACTCTGTACCTACTTCAGATGCACAGTCACTTCCATTAGAATGGGAGCTCCTTGAGAGCAGGGGCCCTGCTTTTTCCTCTCTTTGTGTCGCCCGCACCTCCCACAGTGCCCGGCACAGAAAAAGCACTTAAAAGAGCTGTCGACCGGCTGACTGATCACCGGACAAACAGCTCGGGCCTTCCCAAGTCATTCAGAGATGCTCAGACACCTCTGGTGGCTTCCTCCCGAGCCTGGCCTCCACGGCCTCCACAGCCATGCTCCGGCCTCTCTGTACTGGCCGGCCTCTTCATTCCTAACACAGAGGAGCGACCGGGCCGCTGGGTGCTCCGCGCCAGCGGATTCCCACAAGCCTCATTCCCTGCCCCTCTCCAGCTTGCAGAATCTTTTTTCCTTCAAGGCTCAGCTTTGTGCCACCTCCTCCATAGAGCCCTTCCTGATTCATCACATCATCTATTTTTCATTCCTCCGCACACACGTGACACTCACTAGGTGCCTATGACAAGCCCATCAGTCGCTCCGTGGCTCCGCTCAGCATCCCAGGGACCTCTCAGAACACTTCCAGGGCCCCCTCCCCCCTAGTCCCCTGAGCGGGGGAGGGGCTCCCCTCAACAGAACACAAGCCTCTCGAGGGCAGGGCGGCTAGGTTTTTGTAATTTTATCGCCAACGCACCACGCGGTGCTTAGCGCCCAGCAACAGACCAAAAATCTCCCGGGAGCCCAGGCGTCGGCCGGCCAGGGGCAGGATTCCCACAGCGCGGTCCGCCTGCACAAAGGCAGTGACTCCGTGGGCCGGTCAGCCGACGCTTATTAAGCGCCACTGTGTGCTGGGGCACAGAGAAGACGGAGCACTCCGCTTCCCCGGCCCAGCGCCTGGCGCGCAGTAGGGAGCCTGAGTCCTTAACGCCTCCCCTCCCTAGACGTCTGGTTTGCGCACCGGCACCCCCATGAGCTCGTGAGCCCTGCGGGATACAGATGCCCCCGGCACACAGTGGGAGCTAAATGGATGCTTATTGACCAATTCATGTCTGCGGGAAGTGAATCCCCATTTTACAGATGAGAAACTGACGCCCAGAGAGGGGAAGTGACACAGAAATGCTGCAAAGACCCTCCAGGGGGGCACTCGGTCCATCTCTCCCTCATTCTGCAGATGAGGAAACTGAGGCTCTGGGAGCTGACTGGAACTGCCCGGGATCACCCGGATCGTACGTGTACGGGGCTGAATTTGAACCCAGATCCTCTGCCTCCGGAGGCTCTTTCCCTTGGATCACGCTGCCTCTAGGGTCCCTTTCAGCGCCAGGTCTTTCGCTCCCGCCCTGCCCCGACGCCCCTGTCCCGGCGGCAGACCCTCGGTACCGGCTCCACTCGGGCGTCAAGGTGTTTCGGGAGACCCACGGGCCCTTTAAGAGAGAAAACTTTCTGCCCGGCTCCCGGGGACCTCCTCAGGCACTGATTGGATAAACCGCGGCCTCCAGAGCCCGCCCCCTCATGCAGCCTATAGGTCAGAGCCCCCGCCAGTCAGCGCACAGACACTTTCTATAGGCTCGCGGACGTTGTCACTCTGCGCTCTCGGGAGACAGAGGGGGGAGGATCCCCCGAGTCCCCTAGATCTGGGGCTTCGAGCCCGAGGGGTCCCCAGGAGGCAGAGGCCGGCGCTGGGGAGGCCGGGATGCACGGGGCACTTACCGATGCGCTGCCCCACAGGGGAGCTGAACGGGTTCCCCAGGAGAAAGTCCATGGTCACCGCCGCCACCCCTCTGAGCCGAAGGGATCAGCTGACAGCAACTGCCACCTCCTCGGAGTCGTCACGTGACCCGCCCCCTCGGAGAAGCCGGCCTGGGGCGGGGCCGCAGACCCCGCCCCGTGATGTGCCAATCACCGCATGAGGCGGAGTCGGGGGGTGTGGCCCTCTCGGCTTGAGCGTCGGCGTCGGTGACGTCACCGTGCCACTGACTCTGGGGGGCCCTTGCCAGCCGACGGCTTCCTCCGTAGAATGTCAGAGGTCATCGAGGGCAACCCCCGGCCTCCCTTCCCCTACCCTAGACTCGGAGATCTGCTGCTGGAAGGGGCCACCCTCCTCAACTAGCCCCATGCTCTCATTTTACTGCAGAGGCCCAGAGAGGGGCGGGACCTGCCCGTTGCTCCCTGGATGCCTCCCAGCCTCAGTTTGCTCATCTGTACAATGGGCCCGTATGCCTGGATTTTTGGAATCGTGAGGACCTCCGGTGCTTTGTAGGGAGGAAAAAGAGCCTTGTCCTGGCTTCCCACCTTGGGGCTCAGTTTCCTCACCTGTAAAGAATAAAAGGAGCTTGACTAGGTCCTCCCCAAGGGTCTTGCCTTAGTTTCTCTATATGATAAAAGGTCAGGAGAGGGGGAGGGACAAAAGAACTGAGAATGGAGACTGGAAAGGGATGGGCTTGGAATCAGGAAACCTGGGTTCCCTCCCACCCCCTGCTGAAGTCAGTTGGTCAGCAAACATGTGTTAAGTGTCTACTGTGTGCCAGGCACAGTGTGGATACAAAGGAAGGCGGATACAGCTCCTACCCTCAAGGAGCTCCCAATCCAAAAGGGGCAAGGGGACAGCAAGCAAACTCCTATGACCTGTTGGACCCTGTGCAGGCCCCGCCCCCACATCTGGGGACCTCCCTATTGCCATTTCCAAGACGCCTGGCACACAGTGGGCGCTCAATAAATGCTCATGGGCTCCGCTTGACTCTGGAGGGCTGGATGCCATGATCCCCAAGGTCCCTTCCCTGTCTGACACTGCGGGATTCTTTTCCACCCTGCCCCTTGATGACGTCTTACTCATGCTCTCCGAAGGAGCCCTTCCCCGTTGGTCAACTCCTTGGTGTTCCAGTGGCCCTTTTAGGGACTTTATGGAGCTTCTAGCTCTCCCCTGCCTCATACAGATGGGTAAACTGAGGCCCAGATTAGGGAAGTGGTCATGTGACCTAGGCTCTAATCCTAACTCTTCTGCTGACTTGCTGTGTGACGCTGGGTAAGTCCATCTCCCTCTCCCTGTCTCGGTTTCTGTCTGTAAAAGGAAATGTCTTTGAATAATCAAGTGGAGAACAAGGACACTTCAAGTGGCTTAGGGCTGGACTGGTTTTCCTGTTATTGTCAGCACTGGTAAAATTACACAGGCAGTTACGGCTCTAGCTGTGAAGTCATCCTCCTCCACCCTTCCTTTAAGGACTAGAACAATTAGACCATTCACTGCTTTCCCAAAACACACCCAGTGGTCTCTGCCTGCAGTGGGATTGCTTCTTCCCACTGGGTCCTTTCCAACAAGCCTATCTGACCACTCCTACAAAAGAAGGAAAAGACAGGAACTGGAAATCCCTTGGGACAGGGGATCACTTAGCAAGGTGCTGCCCTTTCAAGATGGAAATCAGGTGGGTCGGCTTCAAGTTATTTTATCAGATGTCGTACTTCTCTCAGCCTATTTCCTCATTTAGTAAAATGGAGATAATTACACTTTTACTGGCTGTCTCAGAGTTGTTAGGAAGACACCATAAACCCCAAAGAATCATAAAAATGCAAGTTTTCTTTATTGTTATTAGGTGTTTAACTTTTCATTGATTACAATAATGTAATTTTTAAAAAAAGATATAAATAGAAATTGAAATCTGTTCAGGCCTCAGAGGAAACCTTTAAAGTGCTATAAAAATACTAGTTGCTGTTATGGTTCAATTCAATTCAACAAGCATTTATTAAACACCTGCATGTGCCAGGTCCTGGGGATACACAAAGAAAAAAAACGGCAGCATTATTTGCCCTCAAGGGGCTTACATTCTACTGAGGGACAGGAGAGAGGGAGGGAATATACACAGACAAGTGAATAAAAATATGTACAAAGTTACTGGGAGGAATCAGGAAAGACCTGGGCCTCACATTTGCATAGGGCTTAGAGTTTTCAAAGTGTTTTCCCATCCATATCTAATGCTCACAACAGCCATTAAAGGGGCTTCAGTAATGATTTGGCACATGCCTTTACCAGCTGTGTGACCACAGACAAATGATAACCTTTCTGAGCCACCCTGACTCATCTGTAAAATGGGGATAATACTTGCACCATCTAACTTGGAGGATAATTGTCAGGAAAGTGTAGTACACTTACATGTGTGAGCTGTCAGAGTTGAAAGGGAGCTCCCCACACCCTTAATTTACAGATGAGGACACGGTTGACAAAAGTTGCCCAGTCAGCTAATGAATAGCACAGAGGAGACCCAGATTCAAATCTTCTGACTCCCTTTCCATAATACCATATGCTTAACTCCATGAGGTAGGCAGGTGTTACTGGAGGGGGAAACGGAAACCCAGAGATGAATGAATGAATGAACTGTGCCAAACATGGGGATGCAGATAGAAAAATAAGTCACGTCCTAACGGGGGCTCGCTAAGCCATTTGCCGAAGTCCTCTGCATGGCCAGGAAGAAAGTGTGGGGCAGCCTTCTCCCATTTGTCTGGTTCAGGGGAGGATAGGAACAATGTGCAAAAATCACAGGATTTTAGAGATGTCCAAGTTCAGCCCCTTTCATTTCACTGATTAATTTTGCTTTACCTTCCATCAACAGATGTGTTTAAATGGATGTATGAGAAGCAAAGACCGACCCAGAAAATTCCCCAGAAGCACAACGGAACTCCCAAAGAAATCACAGAATTAATATATAACCCATCAACCACCCAACTCAACATAAAAACAAGAAAACATGCCTCCTTTGAGAGGGCAATGGGGGGGACAGTGGAAAGAGCCCCTGTTCTGGAATCACAGGGCCTGGGTTCAGATGCTGCCTCTGATGCATATTATTGGTGACCCTGGGCAGGCCGGGACTGGAAGGCCTGTGAGGTCCCTTTCAGTGCTAAGTTTACAATGGCCTGATCCCAAAGACTGGAGGCTGGCAAATGCCAGTCCAGGGGCCAAAAACCATCCTTAGGTCCACACAAAAACAGGCCTCGCTTTGTCAACCACTGCTCTAGAAGAGGAGAATGAGGATAAAAAGTGGTGATAAAAAGAGCTGACATCCCTGTTGGGCAGAAGAATAACGACCACAGGCACTGAGTTGAGAACAAGCGGTGTCCACATCGTTGGCTCTGTTTTCGGCTTAGTGTTCTCTTCCTCTACCCAGGTCTGTCTCCACCGCTCCTTGGGCTTCTGCTTTCTCTCTCGGCATCATCAATTAACTGTCTCTGCATCTTTTCTTACTGTGAGTCACGCACGACAATTTCTTTAGCCGTCCCCCTAATGGGCACCCAGGTGGCTTCTTGCCTTTTTCCATTCTCCTCTTCACAGATGAAGAAAGAAGGGAGGGTCTTAGGAGAGTAAGGATTTGCTGAAGATCACACAGCTAGGACGTGGTAGTCAGCACTTGAACCCAGATCTCTCAGCTCTTGGGTCCTCTCAGTAGAGTAGACTGAAGAGCTATTCAGGACTGAAGGCTGCCCTTCCCTCTCTGAGCTTGATGTCTTCCAGTGCTCAAGTTGACCTGGGATCTTGGTCTGGGTATTCCATCCACTGGTAAGATTGAAATTTATTTATTTTGGAGGCAATGGGGGTTAAGTGACTTGCCCAGGGTCACACAGCTAGCTAGTAAGTGTCTGAGGCCGGATTTGAACTCAGGTCCTCCTGACTCCGGGGCTGGTGCTCTATCCACTGCGACATCCAGCTGCCCCAATTTTTTTTTTTAAACACGCCGGGCAATTCCATTAGATTGTAAGCTCCTTGAGGGCTGGGACGATTTTTTGCCTCTTTCTGTATCACCAGGGCTTAGGGCAGTGTCTGGCATACAGTAGGCACTTGATAAATGATGATTAGCTGAATTCTTGCCTTTGTCTTTCCCCAAGTCCTCTGCCTAGGAATGACCAAATGGAGTAAAGGTCTTCCTTTTAAAATTTTGGGCATGCCAGGTCCACGGTGTGAGGGGCCTGCTTTCTGTTAGCCTTATTCTCACCAACTGACTGACTCTGTTTCCCTATTTCTGTAGTACCACTCGCCAAACAGTCACTCAAAGCCTTCAAGGAGACGAGGAGGCAGCATGGTAGATAGAGCCCTGGCTTAGATGCCACTTGTAGACAACCCTGGGCAAGTCATTCACCTATAAGCTGAGGGGTGGGACCAGCTGATCAATTAATCAATCAGAAGGCATTTATTAAACCCCCAATGTTCTAGGGAGTGCCTGTGCATGGCACTCAGGATGCAGAGACCAAGGGGAAAGACAAAGCTTACGTTCTAATGGGAGTGGGTGGGCAGAAGACACAAGGACTCATATGTATATATGCAGAATACAGACAAAATGAATGAGAGGTCCTTGAGGGATGGTGCAGGCTAGCAGCTGAGCAGATCAGAAAAGGCTTCCCAGACTCAATGCATGAACTGAGTCTTGAAGGAAACCAGGATTCCACAAGCATTCTTTAGGTGTCTGTGTGCCTGGCACTGTGCTGAATGCTGGGGATATGAAGAAAGAGTGACACAGTCCCTTGTCTCAAAGAGCTCACAGCCTAATAAGGGGGACCACAGGACTGAAAACCAAGGAAGTCAGCAGCCCTCTTTCCCCTTGGACCTCTGATGACAAACTTCCTACAACTCTTGAATTCATTTGACAAATGTCTGGCTGTGTGTTGACGTCCCTCGGCTACCCCGTACGTTCCATAAGGGCAGTGGAAAGACAGTCTGATCCAAACCTCCTTCCCAGCTAGAGCCCAGCAAGGTGGTCTACACCCATTTATTGTTTGATTAATGAATTCTGGCTAGTTTCCACTGTCACTTATGGAGAGACCGGGGAAGGAAATCATTCAAACACAGGATCCCTCCATGATCAGCCTCTCCCCTAGCTGACTTTCCATGTCTATGGTTTCCCCTCTATTTGTACCAGTCGGCCGGTCCTCCTCTCCAGTCCCAGACATCCCTTCCATGGTTATGTGAGGTGGTCTCCTATGCTTGGAATACCCTCCCTCAGTCTCTACCTTTAGAACTCCCAGCTTCTTTCAAAGGACAGCACCGTTCAGCGGCTCCCTCTATAGGAGGCCTCTAATCAAATGCTTTGTATTTGTTTCTGCATGTTATACTCTGCCCCTGGTAGAATGTTAGCTCTTTGAGGGTAGGGACTATCTTCGTGGCCTTGAAGATACATGGAAGGGGCTTACTATGAGATAAATTCAATTTTAATCCATGGGAGGCAGTATGATTTAGTGGTTGGAGCTAGCCTCAGAGTTAAGACCTGGGTTCAGATCCTGCCTTAGACACATCCTGGCTGTGACTCTAGAGAACTCTGAAGACTATTAAATGTCAGAGAAGGTGCTGATTTGCACGGATAGGAGGGAATTCCTTGCAATCACAGGTCCAGTCAAAAACAGACACAACTTCTCTTCCCCTCGGCCTTGTGATATCTCTACTCTGTTGTGTCTATGAGAAAGGCTCATGTCCAGCATTTTTAGCTTTTTAGACAAATCTTAATATTCCCATTAATGTGAGGCCGAAGGGGGGAGGGAAAGAAATCCATTAGCACGAACACTGAAAAACGAGGCAGGGAGGTTCCCTGAAGCCATCTGGGATGGGCCAAGAATGGGCCACATGTAGCAGTCTCTCAATGAGGTCACCAGGGACCTTCTGCCAGCCACAGGCCTGGCGAGGGGGGGAGGCAGCCAATGCTCTGCAAACGTCAGGAGGCTGGGGTCCCCAGTTGCACCAACCGGCTATTCGGCATAAAGAGAAGCAACAGGGGAGGGTGGAAAAGGAGGCCGGAGTGGGGAGGTAGCAGGGTCACGGCCCTCAGACTGGAAGGGACCTCACAGGTCATGGTGCAGAACCCTCATTTTAGGGATGAGCAAACTAATGTGGAGAGAGGCCACATAACGCACCTGTCAGAAGACCCCATTTTGTGTCCTGGCCCTGACACGAGCTGTGTGACTGAGCGTGGCAGATCAGCCTCGGTCCCCTCACTCATGCTGAGGGTAAAGTGCTTGGCAAAGCACTAGAAAAAAAGGAGTTTTTACTGAGCAGGAACGTTTCTCCCGGACTTTCATCATTCCCTGTCCTTGGCACATGGAGAGGGTAAACAAGTACGCTCACAATGTGAAACCCGACAGCACAGGCGGAAGGGGGAGGAGGGCAGGAAAATGGCCAGGGCTGACATTCCATTAGAACAAGAAGATGGAATTCTCAGTGGGAAAGAGAAGTGGGGTGCGTTGTGAGTTCTAAAAAAGTCTAACGCCTCTTGCTTGGTAGCACAGGGAAAACAGATGAGACGATACTCCAAATATTAAAAATGTGGGTTTTTTTTTTAATATATAAGTACAAAATTTTATTTCTTTATACAACTTTAATGGGATTTGGACCAAACAACTAGGATTTGTTTAAAAAACCAAACCAAAGCAATGATATAAAAACTGTAAGTAGGTCTGAATCCAAAGATTTCCCTCTAATAGTACCAAATGCCACAAGGTACAGATTATTATACAAATGTGTACAAATTTTAAATACAAATACAGTAGGGTTCGGTTTTGAAAACAAAACAAAAACAAAGAATGGGCCCACGTCAGAAGTTCCTTACTCTATAAATGGCAAACTTAGAAGGAACCTCGTCTGGTTCTGGATCCAAGTCTCAGTGTTCCCTCCCTGTCCAAATGGAAGCTTTTACTGGTGTGCAACAAAGCTTTGGGTCAAGAGGCCAACCCTGCTGCTTCCCATCCCTCCCCTTTCCTCCCTGCTTTTCGGTTAAGCCACACAGCAGCTTTAAGTGGTGAGGTGGGACGCATATAGCCCCTGTGACTGTCCCAAAGCTGAGCTTCGTGATGGGGGAGGGGAGCCTGAGAGGCTCCCCAAGAAATTCCTCTGAACCTGTGGGGCTGAAGCCTAGGGAGAGGAGCCAGATCACAGAGGCCAGGCCTAACTCCAGCAGACCCCCTGCCCCCAAACCTCAACTGCTTTCTCTCCTACGAGAAAGTGAAATTATTCTGGTTGTGTGGAAACGAGGCTGTGAGGGCAGGGTCATACACACGCGAGGGTGCGTGCGCGCACGCACACACACACACACACACACACACACACACACACACACACACACACACGGCTTAGCTCTTCACCTTCGGCACAGCCCACACATTTTTCCATGAGGAGTCAGAATCCTGAAGGAATGATTCTTCTTTGTCAAGAAATGCCTCAAGCTACAGGTGTGTTAGGGTTTCCAGGGCAGCCTAGAGGGAGGATGGGGGAAGGGATGGGAAGAGGAACAAATCTAACACATCTGAATCTTCCACATGCTGCTGCTGGTGGAGGTTTTTTGTTATTAAATTATATATACAGAAATTTACAGGATAAATTAAAAACTAACAGATTTTAAAGAGTTAAATATACATGATTAAAACGCACACGCATACAGACATACACACACATGTACAAAACTACCTAAGACTCAAGTGCGTTCCTGCAGCTCCCTTGTGAGCGGAGGGCAGAATGCTCAGCACTCACACTAGGGGAGCCCAGGAGACAGGCCCACCAGGGAGAGCTGGGCTGAGCGAGCCGATGTCTTCTCCTGCTGTGAAGCACCCGAAGCAGTGGCCCTCAGGAGGCCTCGGTGGCACGACACGTCTGGATTCCAGCCCCGGAGCCGCCGGCCCTCTGCCACGGCAACCGAGTAAGTGCGGTTCAAGGAAGAGCTCTGGCACCAGTGCCCCGAGGGACGGCGTGCCGGCAGGGCTGGCCCGCCCCACCCAGCGCCCGGGGGCTGGGGCTCTCCTATGTGCTCGGCCTCCATCCAGCTAATGATGGGACCTTGCCTAAGCCTGTTCTTTGCCTCTGGATGGAGATGATTTGTCACCCCCCACCTGGGAGTGAAGTGGAGATGGTCACCTCGAGTTGAAAGGATTGATGTTTTCTCTCCCCTCTTCCCATCCCCTTCTTTCCTAGTACACTTCAGACTGCAGGATAGGTAAGGCAAACGGTCAATGACAGGTCTGGGGGACGACACTCGGCTTGGAACAAGACCACCATGTTTTATCTGTCCATAAAAGAGGTGCCTTCAGTGCCCAGAACACCCCCCCCGGCCCCCAAGGTTCTGTGATTTTAAGGCAGATTGATCTACCACCAAAGAAAAGGAAAGCAAAACAAAATTAAAAACCCAAACCCACATTTAAGCCAAGGCTCCCCTCGGCTGAGCCCTCACACTCCATAAAATTGTTAAAAGTAGGTAGTTACAATCCTATGTATATATGGTACATGTATTAAAAACATTAAAACCTACACCCAACAGCCAGCAAAGGGCGCTAGAAGAGTCCGTGTCCATGGGAGCCAGCAGGGGGCAGGGCGCATACGTGTCCCAGAATCCTTAGCAGTCAGAGTCCAGGCATGATGTAGGCGATGTTGTCCAGAGTGTTTGACTACAAAGGAAGAACACAACACTGACTGAGGGGGCCTTATGAAAGCTCTCTTGCAGGGGAACTGGGGGGCCCACTGAGGGACCCAGGGGAGGGGGTGAAGGGGTGAGCGAGGGGCTCAGGGGGAGGGATGAGAGATGAGGAGGAGTGAGCAAGGGGCCCAGGGGAGGGATCAGAGATGGGGAGGGGTGAGGGGCCTAGGGGAGGGGTGAATGGGTGACTGAGGGGCTCAGGGGTGAGGGGCTCAAGGGAGGGGTGAGTGAAGGGCCCAGGGGAGGGTTGAGTGAGGGACTCAGGGGAAGGATGAGAGATGAGGAGGGTTGAGCAAGGGGCCCAGGGGAGGGGTGAATGGGTGAGTGAGGGGCCCAGGGGAGAGGGTGAAGGGGTGAGTGAGGGGCTCAGGGGAGGGATTAGAGATGCAGAAGGGTCAGCGAGGGTCCCGGGGGGGGCGGTCAGCTAGGGGCTCAGGGAGGGATTAGATATGGGGAATCAGTGAGGGGCCCAGGGGAGGGGGTCAGTGAGGGGCCCAGGGATGGATCAGAGATGGAGAATCAGTAAGGGGCCCATGGGTTACAGAGCTGCTGGGATTTCCCTTTATCCCTGTTTGGGGCAGAAGGAGGCCTGGAAGAGGACAGGGACGAGAGGGAGGGCCAGAGTGGCCATATACCTCTGGGGCGGCTCGACTGTGTCTGTTCCTTTCTAAGCCTGTTTAAAGAACCCAGCTCTTACTGTTTCCCTGTAAGCGTGGCATCCTATTCCCTTAGGGGGACAGTTTAGAGAGCACGAGAGCAATCACGTGCACACACACACACACACACACACACACACACACACACACACGCACGCACGCGTACGCGTACACACACACACACACACGCACACACACACACACACACATGCGCACACACACGGTAGGGGCTCTCCCGGGCCTGGCACAGGATGCCCCACACAGGCACGACTCACCAGGACCTGCTTTGGGCAGCCATTCAGCTCTGGCAGTTGTGTGGTCAGGCAGGCCAGAGGGCCGAGAGCACAAATAATAGAATCGAGAAGAACGGAAAGACTTCCGGAAACGGCCACCATCCCCTGAAAAGAAGGGATCACAGACGTCAGTCATTTCGTCCGCGTTTGGCTGGTCTCCTCCTCAGGTGCTGCAGGCCCTGGGCCGTTCCAAGCACAGAAAGCGTTAATGCGTGGCGTGATTCTCGGACGGTCCGTTGTCGGCTGGGCCCCGTGGGTCCTCCCCGTATCCGGCCCCACGGTCACCAGGGCCGGGAATCAATGCCTCGCATTCCGAGGGTGGTGCAGTGGAGAGAGCACCGACACGAGCATGACAGCCTGGACGCCAGGCCTGGCGCTGCCCTTCATGAGCTATGTGACCCTGGGCAGGTCCTGGCTCTCTCCAAGCCCATTTCCTCACGTGTGAAATGCGAGTCATACTTACATCGTCTGTGGTATTGAAGGTGTTGGGAGGATACAACGCTGGGCAAAGCCCTTTGGGATGTGCCTGTTCGGTGAAGTACGGGCACTGGCTGGCCCCTGCTCCCTCCACCTCCCGCCTGGGTCAGGGTGACGAGGCACTGGCCCCATCACTAAGACACAGAGCTGCCGCATCTAGACTGGAGGAGCCAAGGAGCGCCGGGCCTGCTTCTGTCACTGGGGACCACCTGTCTGGCCTCTCTTGGTTTTAATTTCCTTATCTAGGAAACAGCAATAACTCTATGACCAAACACGCAGGGGTATTCTAAGTTTAACCCATGTGCCACTTACATGCCTGTTGGACACTCCACGGAAAGGACACTGTGGCCACAGAATGCCGCTATGTGAATGCCAATCATCCCTGCCCACGCTTCCGGGGAGTTAATGAGAATGATCTAGGTGGCACAGTGATTCCGAGTCAGGGAGGCCATGGTTTGAATCCTGCTCTAGCCCCTTGCTAGCTGTGTGACCCTGGACAAGTAATTTCACCTCTGCCTCAATTTCATCTGTGAAATGTGGATAATGATGGCACATAACTGCCAGGGTCGTTGTGAGGGTTAAAGGAGATAATGTTGGTCCAGCACTCTGTCAGCCTTCAAAGCACTCTGTAGGCTGGCCCTTCTCGTCACCCCCACCGTCTTCCTCCTTCTCTAGTGTTACCCTCACAGCCCACCCCACCTCCTCCATGCACCTTGCCTCATCGCCTGGTTCTAGGACAACGGCCCGGACTGGGTTCAAGCCCCGACAATGCCAGGTTCCTGCCTGTGACTTTCCCCACATCGTGGGGGGTGGGGTGGGTGGGTCACTGCTGGCTCTTTCTACTGAGGTCAGCTGCCGCTCAGGAGACAGATCTTTTCTTGGTATCAGGGCAGGCCTGTCCCCTTCCAGCCCATGCTCTGCCTGCTGTTTGCAGGGAGTGCTGGGCAAGTGCTGAGGGGCCAGAAATCAGTGTGTGCCCTGGACCCTGGGCCAGCTGCGGGTATGTGCCTCTGCCCGTATCTGGTAGTGGCATGCAACACTCCTAATAACCTGCAGCGAGCCTCTAGGAGGACCAAAGGAATAAAGATTTAGTGGTGTACCAGCCATCGGAGTGGAGGGCACCAAGGGACCTCTGAGATTGCAGAGACAGATGCCCAACCAGGGCAGGGACTGCCCCACTGGCTATACCGGACACCCTTTTAACTTCCCATTTCTTTCCTGGGGAAAACACTGGCCACCTCACGCTGGGGCAACCTCACCAGAATATGTAAAGGTCACTGGCATCGGACAGCCCACGGAAAATCCAGGAAACAGACACCCGACTTTCCTGGTACTGAGGATCAAAATTATCCAGCCCTCAAATCCTTCTGTCTTTCTAAAGCCCCAGGTCAACCACTGTATTCATCGGCTGGATAAAGTTCATAATGACTTCAACTGCCTCCCAGAAGTGGCTGCACCTTCTATAAGCTCAGGGGGATTTCCCAGCTGAAGAATGACAGTCACATTGAAAGAACTGATAAAAGTATTCAAGTCATCTAAAGAAACCCAGCAGAAGGCTCAAACACAGAGTCAGCCAAGGAGGGCGACCTAGTGAGAAGTTATAAGGAACAGTGAAGGGCCTTGCTCAGGATCGCATGAAGCAAACGTATAATTAGTTACATCACAAATCCCTCCAACAATCGGCTCTCCCAATTTAAGCCTTTTGAGAAGCACAGAATTTAGGAAATTAGGAATTAGGAAAATTCAGACTCTCCAGGTCAGACAAGAACATAGGCCTTTGGTAACCAAGTGGTCTGAGCCCCTAGGCTGTGAGCAATCACCCTAATGTTGGCATTTGCTTTGGCAAAGGCAGAAGAAAACTCACGGCAGCAAATCACGAGGATTTTAGAGCAAGTACCAGAAAAGCGCACCCAAGCGTCCTGGGCTTGACAAGCTTACCGAGTGGCCGCAGCCCCACGGTAGCCCCCAGGGATCACACCAGGGTCCTGACCCCCGGACTCCCAGTGTGGTCATCTTTCCCTTAGACCACGCTGCCCCTGCCTAAACATGGGGGTGCTTCTTCTGGGTGCTTTGGTTTAAAACGAGCCAGCCTAGTACAGACTCTGCTAGCCAGGAAGCAGAGGCTAATCACCCCCAAAGTCACCAGAACCGTCCTCCCACATCCTGAGCCCACGCTTATCGACCGCCCTCTCCGTGCCGGGCACCAGGACACAAAAGGAGGAAGAGCAGTTCTGCCTTCACCGAACTTACATTTCGGGAGAGAGTTAAGACAAGCATCTACATGAGTCTAACCGAAGACAGAATATGAGGGTCCTAAGAAAGTCACAAACAAAATGCTGTAATGCCCTGGAGGAGCAAAGCTTCCTGGTATGGGCCTTGCTATGGACAATGCCAGTAATGGGGGGAAGGAGGCAGTCCCTGAGAAAAGAAAAGTTCAGGGCAAGGCCATGGAGAGGAAGGCCTCCAACTCAGTGGCCAAAGACCGTGGGCAGGGAGAGGGTCTAATCAAAGCTGTGTTTTAAGAAGACAAATCTGGAGGCAGCCAGGTAGCACAGTGCACAGAGCTCTGGCCTTGGAGTCAGGAGGACCTGAGTTCAAATCCAGCCTCAGACACTTAACACTTACTAGCTGTGTGACCCTAGGCAAGTCACTTAACCCTGACTGCCTCAAAAAAAAAAAAAGGATGAATCTGGCAGGGAGGGTCATCATAGAGAATTATAATAGGTCATGGACACTGAGGAGGGGGATGTGGTCATCTGGAAGTCAAGGGTGACCTCTGAGGAAGCACTTTCTCAAGAGGTGAAGCAGAGGCCAGGCTGGAGGGAAGGGGATGCCCCAAGAGACCCTGGCTGAGGCCCGTCACCGTACTCACCTCTGTTTCTTGCAGGCGGTGACCGATGAGGCTCAGCGACTCTCCCAGGAGTTGAAGGTGTGCAGCTACGTCGATGGGATCTGTCTCGGGGACTTTGGCTGGGGAGGAAGATAACACTACCGTGCTGGAAGGGGACTTTTTATGAGGCGACAGCACTCCAGCAGGAGAAGCTAAGGGCAAAGGAGGAAAACAGGGAGATGAGACTGGGCTACCGAACTGGGCACCACAGACGGCGACAGGCTTCTTTGTTATACCTCTGAAAGTTCCCCCATCCCCCCGCCAAGGCCTTTCTGCACTTCACCTTCCACCCTAACCCGACCCTTCAGTGGAGGCTGCCATCGCTCCCACCTTTGACTCTCATGGCCCCCTCGGAGCCGGCGGCCGCCTTCCTCTTCACTGTGGTGGCCTCGGCCTTATTCTGTTTGTGCTGGAGGTACTGGGCCTTCTGCTTCCAGACCTGCGCAGGCAGCAAGGGTGGGGCAGTCACAGGCAGAGGGAACAAGAAGGAAGAGGCAAATTAAAGTTGGCCCCCTGGACTCAGCCAGGAGGCCCAGGGACCAGGCTACGCAGGGCTGACTACAGGAGGGAGGCCCTGGGCGGCAGGGATCTCGTGAGACGGATTGTCAAAACGAAAGCCTGACTTTCAGCTCATCTGGGGGCCATATTATAAGTAAGTTCATCTTTTATAGATTTCGCAATGAAGAGGAGTGACGGTGGGGCCAGGGCCCATGGCTGATCCACCCGGATGAACTGCGTCTTCCTCCCTAGGGAGTTTTGGAGACAGCAGCTTCAGCAGCAGGGAGCGGCTCCAGGGATCAGGCAGATTTAATCTCCAAATGCAGAATTAGTGTGTTCCTTGCTTTCACTGCTCCCCATGGCTAGAATCCCTCCCCCTTCTAAAATCTTAATTGTCCTTCAAAGTCTGACCCTAATTCCTCCACTGTCTTCTCCTCTGTGCTGTGGCCATGGCAGACGCTGCCGGTCTGTTTGTGGGAGAGGCCATGAGGAGGGGGTGGGGGCTGAGAGTAAGGGGACCTGGGGCCAGCTTCACTCTGACCCTGATGAGCAGGGTGGCCCTGGGCAAGTCGGGCACTTCCCTGGGCCTGGGTTTCTTGATCTGTAAAGTAGAAATAATGATAATAATAATTTATTATCTACCTCACAGTGTTGGTTGTTGAAGGGGAAATGTCTTATAAATCTGAAAGCATCCTAGAAATATGAGTTGTTATTACTACTGCAAGTTCCAGCAAGGCAGGGGCCTCCTTCAGTCCCCAGTACTTTGAACACAGTGGCCAGTAATAAATGGCTGCTGAATGAATGCTTGATGGAAAAATGAATTAATACTTGCTGTCTGATCACTAGACAGCTCTTGACTCTGGAGAGAGGGGGCCCTGGCTTAAACTTTCCACCCCTGACAAGTACGCCAGGGGCCTCCCTGGGACTGCCTTTCCTTGTCGAAGTTGCTCCCTCGTCTGCACAAATGGGTGATTCCCACCACTATGTGAGGGTCAGGCAGGGGCTTCACAGCCACCCAGCTCGATGCAGATCTCTGCTCAGGCCTCGGACCGCACACCGCCATCAGGGCTCTGTCAGACCATGCTCTCTGACCTCTAGATTCTCTCTCCCCAGAAGCTAAGCCTTTTAGGCTCAAAGACCCTTTAAAATAGGAAGTGCCAGACACCAAGGAGTGTGTGGCTGTGTTCCTGGGCCTGGATGAACTGCACTCCAGGATATAGAGAACCTGCAGGGGACTGTCTGGCTTCTGTCGGAGATGTCAGTTAAGAGTGTGGAGAACTGGAAGGAGGGAGAAGCCTTGAGGTGGATACTTTTTTTTTTTTAAAGGGAAAAGGATGGTGCCTTGAAACCAGAGGCTGTTGAGCTGGACTTCAGTTTCTGGCAGAATTCTAGACGGTCTACTCCAGGGGAAGGATTGTAAGCACTTAGCTCAGGTCTACAACAGGCTCTTGGCTAAGCCCTGGGAGGAGCCTGGCCCTTCCCATTTCCCATGTGCTCACCTAGAGCCCTCCTCAACACGAGAACCAGACCCTGCTTCAGTCCCCAGGGTTCCAGCACCCACCCATGACTACCGCTGGGGAGAGAGCCACCCACCTTCAGCAGCCACTCCCACTGCCTCCATGGTAGCCCTAGGGCCTTGCCCATTTAGCAAGAGAAGGAAGAAGTCACTAACAGCCGGTACAGTTTCAGGTCATGACACATTATTCTGATTTCCTTCCATTACAGGCTAGTTGCTAGACTAGTAGGTAGTCCAGTGCCACAGACACAGCGTTCCTGGAGGGCAGCTGGGTGCTAAACAAAATCGCTCCGTATATTCTTATGAACGAGACATGGGCTAGATAAGAGCACAGTTACTTGGATTTGGAGATTTGGAACTGATTTAATGATTAGAACTAAAGAGTTAATAGGCTGCTGAAGACCAGGAAAGTGGTGCCTGCTGTAGCACTGTAGGGATTCCCCTTGGCTCTGGGCTGGCTGCATTTTTATCAATGATTTTGACAGAGGGATGGATGGGATGCTCACCCAATATGAAGATGACATAAAATGGGATGGGATAACCAAAAGGTGGGATGCCAAGGTCTGGCTGGCTAACCTGAGCTAAGTCACAAGCTCTACAAGCTTCAATGTTCTCATCTGTCAAACAGGAACGATGTGTTTCCTTACGTCCCTCCTCGGATTGTTGTGGGAAACCAACTCAGAGCTGGATGACAGTGCCCATGAAAAAGAAACGGGGCCGCTGGTGGAGAGCAAGGCAGCCCACGTCCATAGCGCACGTGACCCAAATAACAACACAAGGGACTGTTTTCAGGAGGCTGCTCTGCGGTGGGCTGTGGTAGGGTCCAGAAGGAACCCCTGGTCAGGGTCTAGTGCCAGGCATCTGGGATAAGGTGGGGGCTGGAGAGCACAGCATAGGAGGATCTTCTGGGGGCAGATGAAGATGGAGAAAGGAGGCTGCGGGGGGTCAGGGGCTGCCCTGGCAGGAGGATCAGACATGCTCTGCGTGGCCCTAGGGGCAGAATGGGAAGCAGGGGATAGAGGCAGCAAAGAGGCAAACTGATGCTTGACGTATGGAGAAATGTCCTAACAACATCATGGCCCCAAAGGGTACTGGGCCCCCATCACTAGTGACCACTGCGGAGGTGATGCAGTGCGGCTTTCTGTCCAGGTAGGCTTGGCCTTGGGGTCTGCACGATACGGGACATTCCCCTCCTCAGACGCTCAGTTTCTTTATCTCTACTATGGGAATAACAATCTGCAGGCTGCTTCCCTTGTGGGGATACTGTAAGGAAAGCACTCTGCAGCCTAAATGCCATGGGGTCTTTGTGCCGTCCTGCCCCAGATGGGGGTTCCCTTCCAGTTCTGCTTTTGCCGTGCTGCTCGTCTGAGGCTCGGTCGAGTTGCTCCTTGGGTCACAGAAGGTGGGGTGAACCCAACTTGAGGGGAGGACCCAGGGAAGGGCAGACTGCAGAGGACAGCCTCGGCTGCTTCCTCACGCTAACCCTAAACGCGCTGCCTTTTCAGCCACTCTCAGTGCAGAGGGCGCGTGGCTACCCATCACAATCACTGTGCTCTCCAAGGAATCGAGGCTGTGGCTGCCCAAAGGAGCGGGCATGGCCAAGACATGGTCACTGACATGAACGCCCAGAACAAGAGGGGCTGAAGGAACACCAGTGGGCATAGCTCTGTCCAGGGTCAAAGGAAGGCCCCCACCGCCTTGGGCTCATCCTCGAGGGGGGATCGATGGAAGGATGTAGGTCAGAAGCAGGCAGGCTGAGAAGGTGCAGAGAGGCTGTGAGCTCCCCTGCTGGAGAGAGGACTGCCATCTCCGAGACCAAGGCCCAGTGCAGCTAACGGCCCCACACCTGCGGGTTTTAAGAAGGGGGTTCACTGCCACAGGGTTCTGGCCACAAGTCTGCCGAGGCATGGAAAGCTGTGAGCTTTCTTAGTAGTGGAAGACCCAGACCAAGTTACCAAAACTCTTTTGAGAGGCAGCATGGCAGTATATAGCACAGGGCACCGGACCTGGAGGTGGGAAGCCCTGGGTTCAAATCCAACCTCAGACTTACTGGCCGTGGGCCCTAGGCAAGTCATGTCATGCCCCAGCCATCCTTCTCTCCCTGTAAAATGAGGGGGCTGGATTCAAAGGCCTCCAACTCTAGGGGGCCACAAAATGACTTGGCTCTGGTAGGCAGAGAGTCGCCCCTCTAGTGGGTCAGCAGGGCTTGATGGCCACGCTGAGGGATGGCGAGTTCCAGCCGGCTCGCACTTGGCCTCTGTGCCCGCCACCACCACCACCCTGCATCCGCGAGCCGAGGCCAGAAGGGGCTCACAGCCCCCTGCGGAGGCCAGAGTTTTTAGGAGTATTCCAACCACATCGAGCTGCTAAACGATCACTCAGATACTTACCAGTTTGTCTTTTTCTGGCAGCTGTTTCCATACTTCAGCCAATTTCTTGCTCAGTTCCCCAAAATCTGGCAAAAAAGAAAAAAAAACCTATTCAATATGGGTAAACAACTCCATTAAAAAAGGAAAAAAAAAACCACGTGACCAGAGTATGTATAAGCAGCCTCGAATTCCTACTTATCTGTCTCTGGTTGAAATGCACGGGCCACCAGCCCAGCTCAGAGAGAATCTCGCACCACATCCCTGAGGAGCCTGGCTCCCAAAAGTTCTCTCTCTTCACCACATCAAACAAACCTGCAATAACAGGACTTTTCAACCGATGCTTTCACACAAACAAAGAAGGAATCTCTTAGGCCGCTCTCTATGGGCAAGGGCCTGAGAGAACAGAACCAAAGAAGTTTCTCTCCACCCTCCTGTCTCAAAACCAGTCACCCCCTAACCACCTCTCAGTTTGCACAGCTTTCCCATCAGCATCTCACATGATCCTCACAATCACCTGTGAGGTACGGACACAGGCAGGCAGCTTTCAGAGGAGGGAGCTGAAGGTCAGAGAGCTTTGGTGGGCTCCCCCGAGCTCACCAAGGCCAGTGGTGGAGCCAGGGCTAGAACCCAGGGCTCCTGACATCTCCTGGAGGGCTTTTAGCACTATGCCAGCTGCTCAGAAGGGACAGGGAAAATGACCATCTATGGCAGTAGCTTACACTTTGACCCTGACAGCCAAACCATGGGGACACAGGCAAGCGTGAGGATGTGACACCAGTCACGTAACAAGCAGTTCCAGATCATGTCCTCCTAAGTATGCAAAGTCTGCAGCAGCCTCTTAGAGAGCAAAGACCAACACCTATGCACACTCCCACATGAACATCGATATCCTTGGGGCACTTCTATGCTGGACTATCCTCTACTTGTATAAAGTAGGAATCTGACATTTCACATGCTAATCTGACCTACTTAAGTAACGTGAGAACCGAAGAAGGAAACCGATTTGGTGTCCTTCCCATCGGTCCAACCTTTGGCGTCCCTTTGGCGTCCCTACGGGGTGTGAGGAGGTAGCCTGCGCCAGGGAGACTCGTTGAGAGGTCCGCGGTCAAAGGGGAGGCGTGTCCTTACCTATTCCTGGGTGCTCTGCCACGATGGTGACCCGGTACTCCTTACAGAACACCTGGTAGGCAGACATGTTCTTCTTCTTTGGCTAGCCCCAGAGAGAAAAGAGAACAGGACGAGACATAATTAGGACGCAGATTTAGAAACCTGGGACCCAAGGGGACAACGGAGAAAGGATTTTTGTGCTGTTCCATCAAGGGAAAGGATTCTAAAGGAGGGCTTTCACTGACTGCCCAGAAGTCAATGTTACATAATAGGTCGTAATCTCCTTGAAGTTATGGATCATGTATCATTTGCACCCTACCTCCCCCCACAATGCCTAGTCCGATACTTGGCCACACAGGACATGATAAATGTTTGCTGAGCGAATGAAGGAGTCCCTTCAGACTGTAAGCTCCTGGAGGGCAGGGACTGACTTGTATCCCAGGTGTTCGGCGCAGTGCCTAGCTAACACGTAGTTAGTTGGTGCTTAATGAGTGCTTGCTAACTAAAACGAGGTACGTTTAGGGCTGAAAACACAAAACCGGCTAACTTTTCTCAAAAGCACAGTCACTCCATGCTCTTTGCACCTCAGAGATGGATCAGTTAAAGGCACCAGTTTCATGATGTCATCAAAGGAGAGGGGGTCAGATTATTTCACCTAGGACAGGCCTTCGTCTCTGACATTCTACACCCTGAAACATACAGCGGGTCCCCCCCAGCCCAGACTGAATTGTGTAGCTACATTAGGAAGCTAAATGATGATTTAGTTGTACTGGTGAAGTAAAAGCGAACCACATCCTATCCCACAAGCCTGGCACTGGGCACGGGACAAGCTCCACCACCAAAATCTGAAGGAACTGCAACTGCTTCATTTAAACAGAATGATAAGATTCTGCATTCTGGGTCTTTTTAGTTGTTAACAAATGCTACTTTAACTAAACAATCACTACAACAGCCAGCATTTACATAGCACTTTAAAGTTTGCAAAGTGTTTTATAAACATTTTCTCACTGGATCTTCACAACAACCATGGGAGGTAGCTGCTATCTCCATTTGACTTAACAGGAAACTGAGGCAGATATGGGGTAAGTGACTTGCCCAGGGTCATATAATTAGTAAGTGCATAAGTCGGATTTGAACTCAGATAAATTGAATATATTTTCCTCTATGGAAACAATGCTAAACTTCGAATACTGAATTTGGTATTTGCCTTCTTGAGTTAGGGGGAAGAAAACCCCAAACACATATGATTGCATTCCTGCTTTTTCAATTTTCACTCAAATTATCTGACTTCTCACTTTTGAAAGAATCACAGCTAGTCCAACCATCTCATTTTATGTATCAGGAAACTGAAGCCCAGAAGGCGAAGGGCCGTCCTCCAGGCAGTAGAGAGGTGATGCCAGTCTGAAGGCAGGGCTCTCTCGAGGTTCAGGAGACCATCCTACGTGATCAATCATTACTTCAATCTCACCTTCGTCCTTCCTACTCCAGAATGATCCTGACTCCCATTCCAATATTCTTTCCACCACACCCCAAAGAAAGAAAACACTCTTTTCTCCACTGATAGAAAAAGCTTCGAATGTTAGAAAAAAGATTGTCATTTCACTAGTCTCTGGTGATTTGAGCTACTTGAGGAACTTCTATCAGTTAAGTGGTTTAGCTTTCAGTAAAAATTAGTAAAAGCTGGGCAGCTAGGTGGCGCAGTGGATAGAGCACTGGCCCTGGAGTCAGGAGGACCTGAGTTCAAATCCGGCCTCAGACACATGATGCTTACTAGCTGCGTGACTCTGGGCAAGGTACTTAACCCCAACTGCCTCACATTAAAAAAAAAAATAGTAAATGGGTGTTGTCTCACCACAAAATGACGGACTGATTTAAAAAAAAAAAAAACAACCCAAACCACCAGCATATCTCCATCTGATTGAATGCTGCCTTTCAGAGCAGTCCGCTGGCAAGACCATGAATGTACCCATTCCCATGATGGTACTATTGATCATAAGGTGATGGAACTGTACGGGAACTGCCCTCCCTATGGGAACTGCCTTCAGAGAATGAGAATGTCAAGATGTACACAGATGCCCACTATTCTACCGACTCTAACAAAAGGTCATTTCCCAGGCTGATCATCTCCTTCGTACACCAGATTTGGCACTGATGACCCTCGTTCTTTTCCCAAAATCCACCTCCTTTGTCAGATTTGATCTTGTTTTTACGAGTACTTTTTGTTTCTAGATCACATTCTTTTTAGAAAAGATCCCTTCTTCTTCCCCATCCTAGGAACTATCCCTTGTAACAAAGTCAATCTATTTTCAGAAGATGAAAATTCAAAAGAAATGATCTACCACAGCACATGAAAGACTGGTACAGATTCGATTACAAAGAAATAAAAAGCAACTTGAGTAGCTGGAGGAACAGTCGCTGTTTCTGGCTTGGCCATGCCAATGGAATAGAAATGTAAAGTGATAATATAACCAAAGTTAGTTTGAACATTTAATTTTACACCAATAAAATTCTCAAAGGTTCACAGAACCTGTTAAAATAATAAAATTTATTTGGAAAAAGTAAAAGATATAGAACATCAAGGGAAATGCTGAAAAGAGGTAGGGATAAAGAAAGAACAGCATTTCCAGACCTCAAACAATCATGAAGCAGCAGTCAGCAAAACCATCTGGTCTGGGTTAAAAAGCAGAGGTGGATCAACAGATGAGACGAGGGGGAATCAGAAACAACGGAGCTGCCTGGCGCTTGACGGAGCAGAGACTGCACGTTACTTAGGCAACACCTCCCTCTGATAGTGAGAGAGGCGCAGCCTGGCAGCAATGAGGCTTAGACCAGCACCTTCCACCACACTCCCCAAGACATTCCAAATGGAAACGTAACCCTGATGTTGGAGACCAGACCATAAGAAAGATGAGAAGAGAAACAGACCACAGCCTTTTCACAGATCTGGGCAGGAGATGGATTCTTAACAAACTAAGGGATGGAGGCAGTTACACAGACAACATTAAAGCACCTAGGCTAAGAAGGGAAGTGGGCGAATGGGGAAAAAATTTTGTATCAAATCTCTCTGATAAGGGTTTGGAATGCAAGACATATAAACAATGAACAAAGACAGATACACACACAAACATATGCATTATACATGTGCACATTTGCAGATACATACATATGTATATTTGTTCATGTTGCTGATAATGCTTTTTCAGTGGTTATGTTTCAACCCTGGTACCAAGAATTAAGAATAAGGGCAAGAACAAAAACCTATCATATCTCTAGGAAAAGGCTACTGAAAACTGTCTGAGACACTATGTGCTGTAAACAGAAATCTTAATCCCTACTCCATTACTCTCTGAGCTTTTACCTAAATTAAAACTTAAGTCTAAAAATTACCAATAATATTTTAACATAAAAATTAATCTAAATAAAATCCAATTTTGTGTGTATATATATATATATGTATATATATATATATATATGTATATATATATATATATATATACATATATATATGTATATATATACATATATATATATATGTATATATATACATATATATAAATAAAAATAAAAACCCTCTTAATTTTGTATCTCCTGGCTAGAATGCCTGAACCTAATTCTCATGTGGCAAGAAGCCACTTTTTCTAAGGAGACTCCTTCCACTTTTTCTTCTGGAAGTATAATCCAGAATGGGACACACTGTTGCCAAGGATCACCTTCAAAACATCTCTTGAATACAAAGTGGAATTATCCTCAACATCACGGCTGGAAGGAGAAGTTGGGAGGGGCACAATTTGTGTGAAACTCAAAGCACCTTGGCAGAGAAGGAAGAGTGAGAAAAGACTGAAAAAGAAGAAAAACACTGGAGACCAGGGAAAGCAAAGTAGCTCGTTAAATAATGAACTTGTTATCACTGGCAGCAAATCTGGCCCAGGTCCAGGGGATTGTCAGACGCATAGCCCTGACAAAGAGGTCCCTTTGGTCTCCCTTTCTGGTGATACACTCACCCAGCACCTGTAATGTCTCTAGTGACTGACCCCAGATGGCAAATCCCGAGTCCCGGTTTGTGGAGGCAGTCCCAAAGATGTGGGTGGACCAACAAGCTAGAACTATTGAAGTTTCTTGTTTCATGTCTGTGATACAGTGGAGAACGCAGGCTTTGGAGTCAGAGAACCTGGGTTCAAATCCTGCCTCTCTCCCTACTTTAACCTCCTTGTGGCCCAGTCTGGCCACCTGTAAAAGGGGTTGGCTAAGATGGCCTCTGCAGTCCCTCCCAGCCCTAGATCTATGACCCTATGCGGCCTTCTAGGCAGGTGGTAACGTGACAACAGTGAACATCTGGATCCCTCCTTAAGGAGGGCCAAGGTCTGGGTAGCCAAGGGCGAATTGTTATCAACAACAAAATGGCCAACAGTTTAAACTCCTCTGGAAGGAAATCATTTCCCAACGTGACACCCTCCTCTGTCTTTACACTCTCTCCTCTCCTGCCTCCTTTCTTCCTTCCACTGTCTTCTGCGGATGCGAGTCCCACTCGCCTGGACCTGATCCCCTTCTTGCTTGCCCAGGGCCCTCGCTGGGACCATCCTTGCTAGGAGCGTCCTCATGAGGAGCATCCTCGCTAGAAGCACCCTCACTAGTATTCTTGCTAGGAGCGTCCTCATGAGGAGCATCCTCGCTAGGAGCACCCTCACTAGTATTCTTGCTAGGAGCGTCCTCATGAGGAGCATCCTCGCTAGGAGCACTGTTGACTGTGCCGCCACCAGGCAGTGCCTGACTCCCATGCTCCGAGTTCTGCTGTCTCTGGTTGAGGTTTTCCTTCCTCCCCGAGCCTCAATAATCATTTCTGAGTGCCTGTCTCCAGCAGCCCCATTCCCCTTGGGCTGCTCAGAGGGCGCCTCCTGAAGGGTTCACGGCCTCGGGGACATCTTCTGGCTCTTCTTGCCCTCTCATCTCCCACATCTACACAGCCTCAGTCACAGGTCTTGCTTCTGTCTGCCCCAGTTCAGCCCTCGTGTTTCCTGGACAGCGTCGTCCCGGCTGCCTCCATGACACACAAGACAAAGCTGTCAAGTTGATCTTCTTTGTCCACAGATGTGATCAGGTCCCCCTCTGGCTCCAAACCCTTCAACAGCACCTTATGATAACCTGGAACGTCGGGCCTTGTAGCGCTCCTAGCACTGCCTCACGTTTCCACAGCCTTATTTCGTGAGGCGTAAGGGTGCCAGGTATATGAATGTGCGTGTGCCATGATTTCCTGCCCACGCCCCTCCTGATGTCATCCCACATAGTTTTGGCCCCTCTAAGCCAGCAGGAAGCTCTGCCGTCCTTGACGATGACTCCTCCTCACGGACAGGACCCTGGGCTCACGAGGTGAGCTGTCTTGCTTGTGGGGGCGCAGCGAGTTCTTGGCAGAGACAGACGGCGTCTCCTTCCGTGCAGCGTTCTCTCCCCCTCCCCCCCTCGGACATCCCAGGTGTGGCTACAGACAGACTTCTCTCCCAGAGCGACCAGTCACTCGGTTCTGTGTCCCCCTGGCAGACAAGAAGCTCCCTGAGGGTAAAGGCCACGTCCTGTTTATCTCTGTACCTCCCCCAGCACGTAGCACAATGCCCTGTATACAGCAGGACCTTCATGTGTGTTTACAGAATCAGGCTGAACTGATCAGAGCACAGAGCTCCCTTCCTCCGAATACGCTGATAAATAAATTACTTCGAAGGGCAGCTATTTGACAGCAGGTATTTAATGAATGTTTGTGGAATTAAAAAAAAAAAACACCAAACCCCACAAAAACCAAACAGAGCAAACGTGGTCCTTTTCAAGTATTCACAATGCTTCCGGGACATGCAATGCTTTACCTGACAGTAAGGAATACGGCAGCAGCCACTGAACTTTAGAAACCACTTCTCAACAGGTATCCTGAAACTCCGAAGTCCCCATCACCTGGGGCAGTACTGTATTTAGGGAGGACCAGCCTGTGGGGAAAAGGCAGCTAGGACCCATTTCTATCTCTGTCATGGATATACCGTACTGCCTCATGCCTCAGTTTCACCAGTGAATGGATAATATAATGCTTTCTCAAGTCTAGTGACCCCTAGACTTTGAATGCCAAACTGACACCTGCCTAAAAGAATGTTTTATGGAGAACCCACAGAGAGCAAGTGTTCACATGGTAGTCAGAGGAAGCGATACGAGGACACTCTCGAGGTCTCTCTTAAGAACTCTGGAATTAACCGTGTGACGTGGCAGACACTGGCACAGGACCGCCCAGCATGGCGGGCCCTCATCAGAGAGCGTGCTGTGCTCTACGAGGAAAGCAGAGCTGAAGTAGCTCAAAAGAAACGTGAGATGTGCGAATGTGGAGGACCCAGCCAAACGTTCACACGGACTCTGTGTGCCCGACCTGTGGTAGAGCGCTCTGGGCTCGTGTCGGTTTGATCAGCCGCAGTCAGACGCACTGTACCTTGACTCCAGCATAGCGATGCCATTGTGGTCCTCTTTGAGAACGAAGGACAATCACCTACCAGTTACCTCCAGACACAGAGAGCGCTGACATTGTGGCCAAAGTGTTTTAAAGTCGCATATGTAATTCTGAGAGGTGAATGTTAAGCTGCTGTCTAGAGCTTACGGCTGTTAATGATTGATTAAAACGATTTTACCATGTTCTTTAAGTGAGGACATCCTGCTCCATTTCCTATCAAAGACAAACAAATTAACTCCCCAAACTTTTATCTTCTACTGATGACTACCTGGGAAATAATCGTGAGCTGTTTTTGGACAATTTTTCTGCTCTCCACAATGTTTCCTGCTGTGCTATTTATTCATAGGAGGTCTGGTTCAGCCCAGCCTAAGGGCTGCAGCTGGCATATACTGGCCAAATATACTTTCCACAAGGAACTTCATCATTCTACCTTTTAACTCTGGACGGTTATCTGCCTACACACTTTGCTTCCTCTCCCCTTAATGAACCTGGTTCTTCCCTCTCAGACTCACTCTGCTCCAAAAACTACAGCCCCTTTTTACCCTCTCCCCAGCCCCTTCATCTCTGTCTCTGGCCTTCTACCAACCTTGTCCTACGCCCTTTCCCGTATCCATTCTCTCCCGAAATCTCCTGTTTCCTTCCACTGCGCCCTGTGGAATATCTCCTTCATGGAGTGGTAGGGGGCATCCTTCTGAGCCCTATTTTTTCACCTATACCTTCTCCTCCATACCTATCCTCCTTGCCCTAACCAAAACCTGACTCTTTCCCATAACATTCTCACTGTCTCCTTATTCCCTATGCTCCTTTCAGGACATGCAACTGTTACTCTTTCTCTGTCTGCCAACAGTGAGTATCAGCTTCTCCGGATCACTTTGGGTGGGTCCTTTTCACCTACTTCTGACACCCTAAAGAAGTCAAGCACTTGGCTCACCTTCTTCTTCCCCTCCACTATAACGTCTTTCACCACACTTCATGCCCCGAGGTAAAGAGCCTCCTATTCCAAGGGGACGGCCCTCACTGAATCCAATAACCTCCACCTCCACTGCAGCTGGCCCAGGAGGCTGTGCTTTGGATTTCATCACTGAGTTTCTCCACCTCTGTGAACTCCAGAGGAGTATGGCTCATCACAGCCCATAGTCTGTTTGCCTTCTGACTTTGTTTCCCTGACAAGCATACAAGCTCTCAAAATGCTGTGCCTCTCCCAATACAGACCTTGGTGCCACATTGCAGGAGGAATGGTGAGTGACAAGAAGTAGGTTATCAAGAGGAGAGTGACCGGGATGGTGAGGAGAGGACAATCCATGCTTTATGATACTGGCTGAAAGAGCTGGGGATGCTTGGTCTAGAAAAGATGATTTCACGGGGACATGGTAGCTATGTTCAGGATTGGCTATTCTGCCTGGCACCACAAAAGCTGGGGAAGGAGCCCTGAGATTAGAGTCAGAAAGACAGTTCAAGTTCCATAATCTATTTGAGGCTAACCTGACTCCCTCCTCTGTGAAAAGGGAATAAGACCTGTGCCCAGCTCACCGAAGAGTGCTGCTGGAAAACCTCTAGACACTCGACAGATGAAGATGGGACTGGAATTACCAACTCAGCTCAGTATGAAGAAAACTTCCTAACATGGGGAGATGCTGTAAGAAGAAGCGAGCTGCCATGGGAGGTCCTAACATTCCTAACACTCTTCAAGCAGAGGTGGCTGACCATCTGCCAGGGGGCTGATCAAAGAGATCTATGCTTGGGGAGGGCTCAGATGTGGTGATCTTTGAGGTTCCTTCCAATTTTAGGATCTCATTCCCCAAGTGCCTCAGTCCCTTTCTAGCTAGCTACATTTGGTCAAAACTATGGAGGGGGGCAAGAGCAGGCACTTTAATTCCATGCTTTCGACCACCTTTTGCCCTGCTAACTCTCCTCGCCACCAACTTGCTTATCCACGTTGTCTGTTTCCTCTATTTCTAGCTTGGCCCCAGGCCTGGCCAATAGCAGGCGCTACATAAATCCTTGCTGACGTCAGTTAGTTCTGGACAGAAAAGCACAAACCCATGCCGACAGCCCCTTTCTACCCCGATTCGTTTTCTTACCATATCTTCCCCTCTCCCTTAGTGCTTCCAGTGCTAAGCCCCTACCTCTCACTTTGAAGTCTAGTTCCTCCTATCTCCTCAGTGACATCCTCTCTTTGGAGCATCTTCAGTCTGCCTCCTCTGGCTCCTTGTCTGCCTATAAACTCCTTTTACCTTGACCTGCCCTCCACCCCCTTTTCTGAACAAGGGCCCGTTCCTGCAGCCATCCGCTCACCGGCACTTTGCACTGTGGCTTCCACCCTGGCCACTCTAAGGAAACTGCTCTGCCCAAAGTCACTGGCAGCCTCCCAATGGCCAAATCCAGGGGCCTTTCTTTCGTCCTCGTCATCATCTATCTGCCTGGAGCACGAGACCCTGCTTATTCCTTCCTTGCTGGTCCCACACTGTCCATGCTTGCTCACTCCTTCTTTCTCTTCTCTGTCTTCCCAAGATCCCGTCCCTTGTCTTCTTCTGTCTCAGAGATGCCGCTCACTGATGAGGTCGCCATCTGCCACCGCCGTCCCTTCTCCTGGGCTCCAGACCTAGTTCCAACGGCCCAGCAAATGGTCCTGCCTCAATGTCCCACTGGTCCCTCAAACTCAAGATGGCTTTTCTCCCCCTCTGCTCATACCATCCTACCCTCCCCCCACCATGTGCTTTTCAGATTGGTTAGGACTGTTTCTTTGTGAGAGAAGCAGCTTTGTGGTTTAAAAGGTAACCTTTACAAAGAAGAAAACGACTTTGTGCTACTTCAACATGGAGGTGAATGGAATTTCTCTGACATATTGGCTGCTTTCCTGTAAAGAAGCCATTAAGGTTCCCCTGTCGTTTTGCCTTTAGCTCTTTCTAATGGACGCCCCCCACCCCTCTCTTCTGCAGAGTGACAAAGAAATGAAACTTGTGATCATATGATTGTAGACTACAGAAGAGTCACTTGGCAGAAATCTCATTCAGTCTGACAATCAAAGCCAGGTGATTTTGCATTTCAAACCATGAATGTAAAGAAAAAACAAGAAAACCCCAAATGCCCCCTCAGAACATTACCTTGTTGGAATCTCCAGGAAAGACATGAGTGAGTTTCACTTATGTGACCGGTTGTTACTCTAGCAATTCTGGCCAATGATTCCACTGGACTTCTCAAAGGTGTCCCTGTTTAGAGCCCACTGCCTGCTGCCCACACTACTGAGTTACAGACACCACCCTTGGTACTGGCTCCTGCCAGCCCCAGCAGCTCCGTGGGTATGTGGTGGAAGAGCGCGTGAGTGCAGACACAGTTAGCAATTAAGGGAACTCCCTTGGGCCCTGATCACCGCAGGCCAGATGCCCCGGGCTCCCTTCCCCCAAGCTGGCCAATTCTTTACCTTTTCTGCTCTCTCTGCCTTCTCTTTCTCCTTGTCTTCTTTCTTCTTCTTCTTCTCGCTCTGTCCATCAGGGTGGAAGACTGGTGGTGGCAGCGGAGGCGCAGCTCCTGGGAAAGGTGTGCTGGTTGGGGGCGGGGGCCCAGGGCTTGCCCCTGTGGCTTCTCCCACGGCTGTGGGCCCAGTGGAAAGGCCGGGGCTCTTCTTGGACTTGGAGTGCCGCTTCTCCTTGTGTCTCTCCTTATCCTTCTTCTTCTTGCTCTTCTTGGACTTCTTCTTCTTCTTGATTTCCCGGTAAGAGTCGTCAATCACCAGTTCACCGGCCTCCAGCTCAGCCCCCGAGGACGAGCCCGACTCCAGGGCAGGCTCGAGGCTGGAGAGCTCATAGTCAGTGCCGTGCGGCTCTGAAAAGACGGACACGTCGGAACCGAAGCCTTCGGGGCCAGGAGAGGGGTGCTGGTCTGGGGCCGGCTTGTGCTTCTTCCTGGCTGTTTTTAGGAAACTCTGCAGCTCATGCCCAAGGAGGAAAGTGCCCTGCTCATCTCGAGCGGATTTCTTGGAGGACTTTTTTGTTGTCCCTTGTGGAGGAGGATTCTGGAAAGGCTCCTCGTCACCTGTCCTGCCTTCCTTTTCCTTGGGTGAGAGAATAAGTTTCATTTTTAAGCCATCTGGCTCTCGCAGGGTCAAGGTCTCCGTATTAACATAAAGTGGCTTCATTTTTTTGGCCTTGTGGAAGCCACCGTCCTCAAGGGAGAGCTCCCCGCTGCTGCCGCTGCTCCCCTTTTTCCTGGGGTGCTGATCCTTTTTGCTTTCTGAGTAGCTTGAAGAGCTAAAGGAAGAAAACGAAGATTTCTCCCCAGTCTTTCTGGGGGGCTTGGAGCCTGTTGCAAGGGGGGATGTGATGGCCTTCAGCAGGTCCATGGCTGTATCAGAGGCTGGGGGACTTGGCACCACCTTCTTCTTTTTCTTCTGTGATGACTCCAAAGGCGAAAGATCTGAAAATCATCAAAAGTAAGACAGTTTCAGAATGACGGGAGGCAACGTCTAACGTGCTTCCCCTTCTCACCAGACACCCCACCAGCAGGAAGAAGAAAGAGGCCAACAGGAAGGGGAGAGGGGTGACCCTCCAAATCATTCGCAGCACTCAGAAGTGAATGCCCACGCACATCCTGGCTTGGTGTGACCGCTTGCCTCTGGACCTGGGAGGCAGCGGGCCACTCAGGAGTCTTCGTAGGCAACCAACCAGAGCACACCCCAGAGGATGGAACAGAGCTGTGGGATTAAGGTAGGTTATAATTTAGAATTCAGAGTATCATCTGGCTTTGTGTCCAGGCCAAACCCACTGGGGAAAAGGGTTAGTCTCTTCAGCTGTGCTTATTACATGGCCAAGAAAAACTGGTCTTAGTCAGGAGTGGCTATGCAGTTATGCTCCAGAAGAGGGAGAGGTGACCCACAGGTGTAGGCCGGAGGGCATGAAAACCACATGTGGCAAAGGGGGTGCTAGAGAGGAATGGGCAAAAGACAAGTGGATGGTGGGGGGGGAGAGGGAACCTGGTACCTGGTGTATCACAAATGAAGACTGTTCTTCTATGCTGAATCCTCCACAATCCCAGCCCTCCACCTCTCTCCTCCTTCACACTGGTTTATCGGCAATCAGAACAAGAACCACTGTCCTGTTAAATAGGCCACTGAGTCAGCAACATCTGGACCCCTCTCCCTCGCCCCGACTCCTGCGGTGCCCTCCTGTCCTCACCTCCATAGCAGGACTCGCCGGAGGAATGCTTCCTCCTCCTCTTGTGCGCGTCCGTGCCCAGGGAGAAGAGATCTCTCTCCTAGAACCAAGGGAGAGGAATAGGCATTGACGGCTGTTCAAGGAGGCAAGTCAAGAACCCTTCAGAAACCATGCTCCGCTCCCTGTCAATTCATGACTTTAGAAACATAGAAACACAACAAAAAAAGAAAAAAAAACACCATGGGAGACAAGTTCTCTCTTTGTTAGTTGTGAAAAAGAGGACACAAACGCCCCTCTTCTGAAAGAGCAGTTGCTTACCTTCAACCTCTTCTTGGAGGACTTCCTGACCTGAGCAGCAATCTCTTCCTCTTCTCTTAAAAGATCCTTGTAAGAACGTTTCTTCTCTCGTTGGCTCCGGCCGGCCGCCAGTCCTATGTCCTCCGCACTCTGGTCACCATCAAAGCAATCTGAAAGCCATATGAGCATTTGAGGAAAGAGAACATGGAAGTCTGATCGATTCTTCAATTACCCCCCCCCCGGCTGCAGTCCCTCTGCTCCATAATAATGATGGTTGATAATTCCACCAGAGGAAAGGGCCTGGATCCAAGGAGAGGCGAGTATCTGTCCACCCCCCAGCAGGGATGCCAGAGCGAACACCGGAGGTAGTACAAACCCCTGACACCCACCCCTGAGTGGGGTCTCTTGCTCTCAGTTCTCAATCAGGCAGTGGGCAGGCCTGGAAGAATAAAGCTTAGTGTGCTCTGCTTCTGTGTGGGAGGCCAAACTGTGGTTCCTATCCCCAATTTCTTGCTCCATGGAGCTGGCAAGGTCCAAGAGTGCTGCAGGAGCTCAGCCCAGGAAAACAGAAGCTAACATTCCATGCTCTCATGCTGGCCCCCCTGTCTTGCTTTTTTCATCTCCACGGACCCAGCCAGGGAATGCTGTAGAGACTGGGCCTCCTAAGGACAGTGCTCGGGACCATCCTAGCAGAGAGCAGGCTGTGATTCTCAGTCCTGGCCTCTCACTCCATGGCCCGCAGGCACCGAAGGGGGCACCCCCTCTGGAACGCTTCTCAGATTAAGGACTCATACCTTCTTTCTTCCTGGAGTCATCATAAGCCATGGCCGTCCTGCAGGACCTGAGAATGTGGCGCCGTTTCCAGACTCCTTCCCGGCTACAGGACCAGGCCTGAGAAACAAAGAACGAAAACCTTCCTGTGAGGGGAATCACTGTGGAGGCCAAAAAGGCTTCCAGATGGAAATGAGTAGTCATCCACTGAAGGAAAGGGCGGTGAGAAACAAAGGGGCATCTTGTCCCATCCTCACGCTCCCTGTAAATCTAGAGGGGATTGGATTGCAGAAGGTGCACCAGACCTAATCACGTGGCTTGATTCATAATATGAAGTTGTGCTTCTCGGAAGTACAAATTCCTACGCCAAAAAAGACCCGTCAAGAACGCCTGATATGACTGAGCAGGGTGAAAAGACCTAAGTCAATGGGCTAGGTTCATTCCTGGCCACAGGCCCCAAAGATCTGGGAGGCTGTTGGATAAACAGCTCACACTGTACACACAAAAGGGGTAAGAAGATCTTACATTGTTTGTTAAAATGGTGACGGGAGGATCTACCGTACTGCAATTTCAATAGACAGGTGGATATCACTGTAGCGATGTTACACAGCTCTTTAGAACTGAATTTTTATAAAAGGATTTTGTCAGGCTAAGAAATTTATCAAAATAGTTGAAAAAGTGAGTGACTCATGCTAAATGGTTCAATGGTATCTTTCAGCACTAGCCAAACAGTTTTAAACTGGATTGTTTCAGTAAAAAGAGAGGAAGGTTATTTCCCTGAATGGAGATGAATTTGAATCAGCAAAAAACTGTTTTGACTGTCATGTATTACTAGCATTCACAATAACTTGAAGGTTTACAAATACTTTAGAATTAAATGAAAAAGATCTGCTAGGATTCAAGTTTACTAAGTTTTTTTTTTTTAAATATCAAAGATGGCCTGTTAATTTGTTAAGTACAGAAAAAACTCAAGTCTATCAAATATCCCAAGGGACATGACACCCCACAAGAAAGCAACACATATATCTTTGCGGAGGATTCCAAGCACTCTAGATATTCAGTATATTATACTATATACTAGACTACAAAGTAGGTATATTTACAATTTTCTCATGAAACCAGTAAATAACTTAAACTTTACCCTGGCTTAGCAGTTTTTTAAAATGTATTTCACATTCATAGTGAAGATTAGACATTTTAAGGATGCTTCACTAGGTAACACTCATCAAGATGTTATAATATTGAAGGTAACTAGATTAAAAAGGGGGAAATTAAAATTCTACATAATTACTATATATGTGTGCATATACACACAGAGTCCTTTTTTATCACTAGATTTAAATAAGATGCTACGATGGGGAGAACACTTTGTCAACAAACAAAAATTAAAAAAGATCTCTGCTCTCTTACAAGGCAGGAAGTGGAAATGACTAACAGACTTGTTGGAAGCTAGAGAAGTCAGACAGACTGACCCTACAGGAATTACTGGCCTCACCTTCTCATTGTTGGTAAAGAAAGAGAACTATTACTTTGGAGAAAGGGGTTGGGGAGGGCCATATGCAATGTTTCCTATATCCCTGAAGCTAGTACTGGATACCCCAGCTCTAAACCAGGCCCTGATCTCTTCACCTTTCCACCTAGCTAGTGATGGCACCAATGGAATAATGAAAGGTACTTCCTCCTTATTCCTCAAAAAATTTAAAGCTATTTTATGAACTCCATATGTCTCAAGATGATAAACTTGTCAGAAATACATAATTTTCCCCTGACAAAGGTTTCCACTGCCAAAAAATACAGCAATTTGAGAACTCAGAGATAGTAAGAGCCTAAGAGTCAATTCTGTCCAACTAAGTAAAACTGAAGGAAGTGAGGAGGGAAACAATGAAATATTCAATGGCACTGAATATAGTCACTGACATGTAAAGAAGAAAAAAGTCTCCTCTTTTAAATTTTAAAGTCTAAGACAAAGATAGTGCCTAGAAACTACACTCAAAACCCAATCTGTATGTCAAAAGGCCAGATAACAGGTTCCATAGTGGGAACAGGAATATTCAGGAAAAGCCTAAGAAAGAAAAGGGTGGAGATAATTTACTTGGCCTATAAAAAGAGCATTTCTTAAAACTGCCAGTGGATTTAAAAAATTGCTTGGGATGAGAAACAGGTCAACAAGGAGCTACTCATGTCAGGAGAAGTAAAAACAGATTACTCTGTACAGTGTTACTGGGAATCCCACTGCTACATGTTTGTTTTTTTTTAAACAACATGCAGATGTAATCTAATAAATTAGAAAAAGATGCTGAGGTGACTGACATCTCTTCAAATAAGAAAGGAGGGCCTGAATTTGGAAATCTGCAATGAGATGCACACTGGACTGTTTTAGCCATAATGTTGAGAAATTCATTTCTACTGTCTTTAAAAACAACATATTAATCCAGTATGCAGCTGTTGGCCTTTGTTTGCTGATTGCTAGAAAGAAAAGATGGTACTAGAGGGATAAAGTCTTAGAGATCAGTGTTAAAGAAAGGCAGAGTCTAGTCAATTTATGACCAGTTGATATCATGAGTCCCCCAACAGGACTTGAGTTTTCTGATAAATGGAGGGGGTTAAACTCAGGGGGAAGATCTTGAGGATTGCTAATTCAGGAAAAATGTTCAAAAGATTAGTTTTGTCTTTCCTATCACAAAACAGGGGGTTTAATTAGACTAATGGCTGGTGAGCCTATAAAATGGCAAAACCACATCTGGGAATTCCTTAAACTTGGAGATAAAGATCAAACTTCTTTGGTCTAAGAAAATACAAATGACCCTCAAGACAGGAGAGAAGGTGAGACTGTAGAGGGTCGAAAAGCACTTTAAGCATTCAAAGAGACAACTCTGAAAAATGTTGAGGAAGGTCTATGGATCCTCTGGCATTTTTATACAAGATGTGCAAGGGGGGTCATTTCAGACGCTATACTTTAAATAAAAAACCTAGACTTAACAATGCTAAAAGTTTCTAAATTTGATTAAAAAATAATTTAAGTCCCAGCTAACATTAAAAGCTTTTTCTTCCTGGGGTTCTAATTGATTACAGCAAAAGAACAAAGTCAAATCTATAAATTGGACATTTTAAGGGAGATCCAGGAATTGTGAGAATCAAGATGCTGTCTTCCCAACTGCCTCCTTCTCTTCCCAAGCTTGTCTTCTGAAGGCTGTGAATGTTGGCCAGCGTAGCGACAGACGCTTCCTCCAGCACATCCAGAGTCTCTGTTAGCTCCACAGTGCACCTCTCCAGTGATTTCCGGGGCATCCTCTCACTTCTGTCCCAGGTTCTTCTCATCCTTGCACAGAATGCCAGCCTTCAGCCCAGCCTCACTGCCTTCCCCCGGGGATCTCTGCAGCACTCCCAGCCCCTACCAGCTCGGCAAGCTTCAGAGCTACAGACCAGGTGGGATAGGGACAGATGTCTTTGTACCCAGAAGAGGCACAGCTAGTACCAACAACTCATTAGTAAGGGAAATGAGAATTTACGGCAATAGCTTGTTTAAAAACATTGCCAAAAAACCTCCACCAACACAAATTTTGCCTAATAAACAGGCTTTGTTTTGTACTCAGGTAAGTTTTATTTCTTGAGTTGTAAAGAGAATGGGAAATCAGCTGAGACCAGCTTGGCCCACAGAGGGTAGGAATATGAATCTTTCCTCTTGGAGTATACAATACCACGCAATACGGTATTATGTTCTGTGAGAGGAAATTAAAGCATGATTTCTATCCTGCAAATAGGTAATCCCACGAGTGAAGCATGTTCAAAGCACACTGTAGAAGAAAATGCCCACAAAATCTATTACTTATGCAAATACCTGAGGCCACCATTGTACCCCCCACCAAACCAGGGGGGCCTGGTGGCCACCTCAGGCAGCAACTGCCAGATTAGCAAAGGTCGAGGAAAAGGGAATGAAGAGAGCACTTCCATTCTTCTCTCTATGTAAGCACAGCACAGCAGCCTTGGAAGGGACCTCAGAAACGACCTCATCCAACCTCCTCAATTTACAGAGGCCCAGAGAAGGGGTGTGACTTGCCCTACCATCAGGGGCTCTTAACTTTTTCTGGGTCTGGACCCCTCCGGGTAGGTTGGTCAAATTTTTATGGACCACTTCTCAACAATGTTTTTAGATGCACAAAATAAAAGGCATAGGATTACAAAACAATTACATTAAAAAATTGATGAAAACATATTTTTAAAAAGTTTGTGGACCTTGTGTGAAGAGCTGCTGCCTTACAGTCCAGTATTAATTCATTCATCAATTCTTAATCATAGAATCTGGAGCTAGGAAGGATCTTGGAGATCACCCGGGGTCCTTTCCCTCCATACGCTATTCTAGCATACATCACCTGAGGTTTTCTTTTGCTCCATCCTACCCTTTTCTCCTATCATGCCAGCTCAGCTGCCTTCCCGATGGCAGGCATTTAATAAATGTGTGTTAAAATCACTCCGCCTCAGTCCCCTGCATTTTATAGAGGAAGAAACCAAAGAGCAGAAAAAAATGACTTGCTCAGTCTTGACCTAGTGCGCTGCTGGACAGCATGAGATCTGGAGTTAGAGATGTGGGTTCAAATCCTAGCCCCACCACTCAATCCCTGTATGACTGGAAGCACATCCCTTCTCTCTGTCCAGGTCTTATTTTCAATCTGTGAAATGAAGGGCTCCGATGAATGAAGTCAGACTATTGAGTCTAACTAGGTTAAGTGGTGGACAGATTTCAAGGGTTCCAGGAACTTGGATGGGAGAAAATATTACATCTTCATTTCAATATAATTGCTTTCATTCAATATAAGTGGCTTCCTATTTTATGCATTCAAAAACAATATTTTAAGAGGAACAAAGTACTACCAAACTGTCAGAGGGCTCTATAACACAAGAAAGGTTAAGAATTACTCTAAGGATTTCCTCTCAGTTCCACATGGAAATACAAAGTATTTAGTGCAAGGGCAAATAAGAAGTTAGCCTGGTGGTAGAGTGAGGATGAATTTATGAGGAAGTCTTCAGGCACTCAAAACCCCCAGGAAGGACCAAGGTTACAAGGACTTACTAGTATTAGAACTCTCCTGAGAATGAATGGTCTCCCAGGGCAGCCCCCCTGCTAGAGGTCACCAATCACAGCTGGATGGCCAGCCATTTGTTAGCACCCTGGAGACGGACTGCAGCTCAGCTCCAGGCTGGCCTCTTTACCCTCCGAGTTCCCTTCCAACCTCCAGACTGTGCCTATAAAGCAGCAGGATTCGAACCTAGCGAGAGCAGCTAGCCCCACACTCAGTCCTTTCTGCCTATCTTGCTGCCTTCCCTGGGGTGAAAACAAAGCTCCCAAATTACCCAGGGAGGCAGCTGATTAGATGGAAAGCTTTGTGTACAGAGATCCTGGGTGCGAGGACCTTGGCTCTCCTACCTGCTCAATCCAAGAAACATTTATTAAATGCCTACTGTGTGCTAAGAGCTGTGCTAGGCCCTGGAGACACCAAGACAAAATGCCTTCCTAAGCTGACCCTCAGTGAAGGGGATTGTGACCTTGAAGGTCCCTCCCTGGGAGAAGTCCTAGGGTCCAGCTCTGGAGACAAGGCTAACACACACAGCGAGGGGACCGCCCCTGTTCTTTCAGGTCCCTCTGACCAGTTACTGATGCGCTCGCTGGGCACGTCGCCGAAGACGGCGGCTGCACCCAGGCGAGCCCGACTTCGCTCCCCAAGTCTCAGAAGGCAGCGAGGCTGGACCACCGCCTGGCCGCACGGTCACCCGAAAGCCCTGCTGGTGCTTGGATCCCCCGGGGCGGCTTCCTAGAACTCAGGCCGTCTTCATGGAACCAGCAGGCACTGGCGCAGGGCCCTGGGTGGAGAAGCTATTCTACTAAAGTATAAGGCAAGCTCCTTTCCCCCCTCTAGGGGCCAGGACCAGGGTATCTCTATCAGGTCCTTTCCACCTCTGAATCAATGTTCTTTATGAGCCAGGAGGCTGGGAATGAAAGCATCTGATTCCAGTCCCTGTCCCTCCGTTTGTCTGTTTCTCCTGAGCACCTAGAACATGGGCCCGCACACAGATGGTGCTTAACAAATGCCTGTTGCGTCAGATTGCCCATCTGTAGAGAGGGGTTTAGATCCAGCTCTGTATCTGTGACCCCCTAGAATGGGGATGAGAATCCCCACTCCGGGCCTCCTTCATGAGATGAGAGGGTGGCCTGAGACGACCTCTCTAGCGCCTGCCAGCTCTGACTGTGGGCAGGATCCCCTGACAGCCTGGCCACGGGAGGCTCAGCTCTGGTCCCTTCTCTGGGGCCTGGTCTTTGTTTTTGGATCTCCAGTGCTTAGGACACAATGGGCGTTGGAAACAGGCTGAATCCAGCTGTGTGCCCCAGGGGCTTTTAAAAGCTGACTTTTAAACGCCCTCATCTGCTGGCCTGGGGAGCAGAATCCCTACATCTCCCTTCAGTGCCCACCCCTTCTTCCCCTTTCTGGGTTCACTTGGCCACTTGAAAAACAAGTCTGGGCCAGATTATTCTGAAGGTCTCATCCAGCTGGGACTGGAAATTAGGATAGAGGAGTTCTGGTCCCTCCCGTGGGCTAATGGAAGAAATCTGGAGTTCGAATATGACCTCCACCACCTTCTAAGTCTGCCCTTCAGCAAACTGCTCGCCTTCTTCAGGACTCAGTTTGCACATCTGTACCTCGAGGGACTGGAGGAAGTACTAGGGTTCTAAATCTAAGACATGGGGCCTCAGTTTCCCCAGCTGTTACATGGGAGGGTGGATCTAGAAGGCCTCTACGGTCCCTTTCTAGTTCTAAACCTGAGGCCCCCTGGCTGTGTCTCAAGTTTCCTCATCTGTAAAATGAAGAGGTTGCACTAGATAGACTCTAAGGGCCCTTCCACTTCTGAGTCTGTGGTTCTGTGGGAACAGAAGACACGGATTCACTCTACACTCTCTTCCTTTCCTGTGCCTCAGTTTCCTGGTCTGTAAAAGGAGGGAGGCGGCTTAGAGAACCACTGAGGCGCTTCCGGATTTAAATCTATGATCCAAGACCCCTCTGGGCCTCGCTTACCCTAACATTAAACAGGAAGGTGGGACTTGAAGGCCTCTGAGAACCCTTCCAGCACAAAGCCTATGGTTCTATAGCCCTTTCTGTGACTCAGTTTCCTCCTCTATAAAATAAGGGAGTTGGACTGGATGGCTTCCAAGGCCTTTTCCAGTTGTAAGTTCAGGATCCCTGGACTCTCTAAACCAGCGGTCAGACAACCCAGACGCACAGGTGCGTTCTTCCATCTTGTGAGGACTCAGTTTCCCCATCTGGGAGTTGAATTTGATCTCTAAAGGCCCTTTCAGCTCTAAGTCTGGTGTCCTCAGATACCCTAGACTGAGCATCAGCAGCCCTAGATTTAAGGATGCATTATACCTCCCTTACCTAGAAAAATAGGGGCAAGAGAAGTTGGACTGAACGGCCCCCAAGAGGTGCCTTTGGGCTCTATGTCTGGCGTCCTCGGATGCTCTGGCCTGGGGAATCAGACCCCCTGGGCTCACAGGTGTATCCTGCCCTCCTTCCCTGCCCCGTGCCTCAGTTTCCCCATCTGTAAAAAGAAGGGGAGTTGAACTAGACCTCTAAGGTCCCTTCCAGCTCTAAGTCTCGTGTCCTGGGATGCTCTGGCCTGGGGAAGCAGACTCCCTGGGCTCACAGGTGTATCCTGCTCTCCTTCTCAGCCCCGTGCCTCAGTTTCCCGGTGTGTTCAAGATGGACGGGGTTGGGCTGGCCGTGGCACCGAGGTGCCTTCGGGCTCTAAGTTCGGAGTCCCGGGATGCTCCGGCCCCCCTGGGCTCCCGGGCGCGGCACGCGCGGTCCCCAAGCCCCCCGACCCCTGCACCCGCCGGCCAGCTCCCGCTCCCGCCTCGCTGCGGCTCCCGCACTCGCGCCCGCGGCCTCCAGGGCGCCCCCCGCGGCGGGGGCGGGCACTGGGCAGGCGCGGGGGGCGGGGCCGCCCTGGCCTCGCGCGGCCCCGCGCGCGCGCGCGCGCGCCCGCCCCTAGCCCCCGCCGCCACTTTCCCGCCTTCTCTGTTTGAACGCGTCCCGCCCCCGTCGGCCCTACTCCGGCCGCCCCGGGCCGCCGCCTCACGCCGGGCCGCGGCCGCCACTCCAGCCCCCGGCTCGGGCCCGGGGCCTAGGCCGCGCGGCGCGGGGAGGCGGCTCGGGGCCTCCGGGCGCGGGCCCGGGGCGACGGCGGGGCGCGAGGCGGGGGTGGCGGGCGACCGGGGGTCCCGGCCGGCCGGGGCGGGCGGGGTCGCTGCTCGCCGCTACCTTCACTCCGCGGGCCCGGCTCCCGCCTCAGCGCCGCCGACCGCCGCCATCTTGAGAGGGAGAGGAGAGCGGAGAGCCGCCAGGCCGCCGCAGCCGAGCGCCGAGCGCCTCCACCGCGGCGGGCGGCCGGCCCGAGGGGCGGGGGGGGAGCGGGGGAAGGAGGGGAGGGGGAGGAGAGAGAGAGAGAGAGAGAGAGAGAGAGAGGGGAGGAGCGCCGAGCGCATCGAATACCTGCCCGGCTCCTGCTCCCGCTCCCGCCCCTGCCTCAACCCCCGCCCCGGGCGCGCGCTGCCTGCGCTGCCTGCGCTCTCTGCGCCAACTGCGCGCCTGGCCTCCGGGAGCATTGCAATAATAACGATAAAAACCGCAGGGAACGTTAGTAGGGCGCAGCATTTTACAGGAATCATCCTGTTTACCCTTTTAGCGCCTCGGGAGAGAGCTGCTGTTCTCGTCATCCCCATTTTACAGATGAGGACACTGAGGCAGGCCTCGGTGAAGGGCCTTGTTCCACGTGGCCCAGCTGGGAGGTGGTAGATTCCTGACGGCCCCGAGGTCGTACCCTTGCTACCAGCTTGTCAGAGCTCGAGGGGTCTTTGGCTAGCCGGCCGTGTTGGACTATAAGGACACATGGAGAAGGTTCAGTGCCAGTCCAGGGCTCAGGCTCACCCCGACGTCATCATAGATTCACAGCTGGAGGAGACCTTAGCCAACCTCTGCTTACATTACAGATGAGGAAACTGAGGCACAGGGCGCTGGGATGACCTGCCTCAATGAGGCAGTAGTTATAGACCTCAGCATGGTGCCTGGTACATAGTAGGCACTTAATATGTGCTTATCATCTCCTTCCTCCTTCCAGAGTTGCCCAGCTGGTAAGCAGCAGATTCAGGATTTGAACCCAGGTCGTAAGAGTGCCACTATGCCATGTCCCACTAGGCCGTGCTTCCTGCCTCCCCTGAAGCCTTAACTGATGTGATGGTATTTCCCCCATCCGTAGGGGCTAGTGCCCTCTCTCCCAAAATCTTTTAGTCCTGAGAGGCAGTGTGGTATAGGGAAGTGGGCAGAGAGCGGTTACAGATGAGGAAACTGAGGCAAACGGGGTGAAGTGACTTGCAGCGAGTAAGCATCTGAGGTTGGTTGCGCGCTGGGGTCTTACTGGCTCCAGCCTGGTGCTCTGTGCGCCATGGTGCCACCTAGTGGCCCCACCTGCTCTCTTCAGCTACAAGCCACAGATAGCTCATGGTCTGCGCTGGTAGAGGGGGTTTCCTGCCCGGGAGTTCCCTATGCCAATAAAAGCATAGGGCCAGAGCTAAGAATGAAACCTCCTCTCTTTTTTTAAAGACAGGGGCCGATTTTTCGTTAGTTTAGGGAATCATGCATGGGCTGCAATTTCAGGATCACATGGACAGTATGTGACAGGGTTTATCCACTGTCCCCTCGTTGCATCCAGTGGACACTTAATAAATGCTTGTTGGGTTGATAGAGTCAGGACTTTACTGAATCTTAGAGTCAAAGGGTCCTCAGAGGGCATTCCGTCCAACCCCCCAATGGGAATTCCCTCTTCAACATTGATAATCCTTTAGCCTCAATTTGAACATCCCTGCTGATGGGGAGCTCACTACCTAACCTTAGACTGTGAGCTCCTTGGTAGCAGGGATTGTTTTTTTTATCTTTCTTTGGAGTCCCAGTGCTTAGCACACAGTACGTGCTTAATAGATGCTCATCGATGACTGTTAAGGCACCCATTTTACATTAGCACCATTCTAACTGTTAGAAAGTTTTTCCTGGCATTGATCCAGGTGAACCTTAGAGACCCACTACTCCAAGACCCTCCTTTCACAGATAAAGAAACTGAGGCCCAGAAAGTTTGACAGGTAGACACTGTTAGGGAAAGGATTCAAACTTGGGTCCTCTGACTCCAGATTCACCAATCTAAAGCAGATAATACTTCTGACTCCTTAATTTTTTAAAATACAATATCCCTGTACCCATTCTTTCCAAAATCTGAGTCCATTTTCTTTTGGACAAATATTCTTTTCAGTAAGAGAAAAAGGTGTAATAGAACGACACCTGGATTTGGTGTAAGAACACCTGAACTCCATTCCAGTCTTTGATGCTTACAGGCTGTGCGACTGTAGGCAGTCACTCCCCTTCTCTGAGCATCGCTTTTCTATCTGTAAAATGGAGATACAGCGGCTAGGTGGCGCCATAGTGGATAAAGTACCAGGCCTGGAGTGAGGAAGCCTTGTCTGGTGAGTTCAAATTCAGCCTCAGACAAATCTGGCCTCAGACACTTGACACTTACTAGCTGTGTGACCCTGGGCAAATCACTTAACCCCAATTGCCTCACCAAAAAGCAAAAAAAAAAACCAAACAAACCAAAAACAAAAAACCCAACTAAACAAACAAATTCAGCCTTAGACACTACCTAGCTATGTGACCCTGGGCAAGTCACTTTACCCTGTTTGCCTCAGTTTCCCCATCTGTAAAATGAGCTGGAGAAGGAAATGGCAGACCACTCCAGTATCTTTGCAAACAAACCCCAAATGGGGTCATGAAGAGTCAGTAGCAACTGAAAAAAACAACTAAAATGTGGAGATAATGATCCTTTACCTACCTTAAAAGGTTGTTAGGAGGAAAGTTTTTATGAACTCTAAGGCACTGTGGAAATGTGAGCTATCAGTGGTTATGTGGAAGTTTCCAGAGGGTCGTGGTGGGGGCTGGGAGCATATGGGGGCTGTCTTTATAAGAGAGCATTGTGAAATCATTTGCATATTGAATCATCCCCTAGCATATTGCAAAAGTTATTTGCATCTTTAGAACCAGGAGCTGCCTTCAGAGTGCTGAAGAGCTGTCATGAAGAAAAGGGAATAGACATTCATCTGGGTGGCTCCGGAGGGCAGGCCTGCGAGTGGGGGAGTCACACACACGCTCTGGGGCTCTGCTGTCGCTGTTCTTCCCATTTCTAAACAGGCTGTCGGGATGACAAGGGGCTGTCCCATGGATTATTACCGCTTCTCTTTATCGCCACCTTGTGGGGGTTACACTTTGTCCCTACTCTGATGGCTCCAAAACTTTTTTTTTTCCTCCTGTTTTGGCCCCTGTTCCATTACCAACCCTCTCAGTCAAAGCAGGCGACAGCCTCCTACTTCAGCAATGATTGAGGATGTCTGACAGGAGCTCCCTCTGTTAGCTCCATCATCACCCACTCTTCTCTCCTTCCCTCTGCTCAGTACAAAGGGCGTCCTGCTGAACCCTTCCCTCCGCCCCTCCATCTCCCTACAGGCCTTGCTTGGCCATGAGAGTTTTCCCAGCTGCCTCCAAACACGATCGGGCTTCCCCAACCCTACAAAATTCTTTCCTTGACCCTTCCCGATCGTCAAGTTCTCATTCTACGTCGTCTTCTTCAGGGCTAAATTTCTAGAAAAGTTGACAAGTCAGTAAGCCTTTACTAGGTACCTGCTATGTGCCAGCAGTGTGCCAGTTAGGGATCTGAAGAAAGTAAAAAACAAAACCAAAAACAGATGCTGCTTTCAAGGAGCTCGCAATGTAATGAGAGACGATGTGCAAGCAGCTATGCATCTCTTTCTTTCTCTCTCTCTGTCTCTCCCCTTTCTCCCTCCTCTCAGTCTCAGTCTCTTGTCTCCACCTCTGGGCCCATCTCTCTCTCACTCTCTCTCTCTCTCTCTCTCTCTCTCTCTCTCTCTCTCTCTCTCTCTCTCTCTCTCTCTCTCCTCTCTCTCTGTCTCTTTCTCTCTCACTCTCTCTCTGTCTCTCTCTCTCTCTCTGTCTCTCTCTCTCTCTCTCTCTCTCTCTCTCTCTCTCTCTCTCTCTCTCTCTCTCTCTCTCCCTCTCCCTCTCCCCCATCTTCCCAGAGCTCTGTAGCCTTTGACACTCTTCTCCTCCCCCCCAACCCCTGCCCAGGCCCCATCTCTTTTTGCTGGATTTTCTCTCCCTTTGGCTTCAGTGTTCACCTCCTTCTCTACTCTCCTTGGCTTCCTTTGTAGAATCCTCATCCTCTGCCTGGCTTCTTGTATGGCTGTTCCATAATGGTCTGTCTTTGCCCTTCCCTCCTCTCCCTCCCCCTCCTTTCTTCCCCTTCCTATTTCCCTATCTTTCCTTTACCTCTTTACATTCCACCTCATCCATTGGGAATGCCTTCCTTTTGATCTCTGAAAACCCTTGGTTCTGAAACTTGTCAATGCAATTGTCCCATAATTTGGAATATTATCTTTATTTGTATTTGGGTCTTTCCCCCTACTAGACTAGGAGCTCCTTGAGGGCAAGAATCCTGAATTATCTAAACTTTGTATGTCTCCCAGAATAGGGCCTGGCACACAGTAAGTGCATAATTGATGTTGGGTGAATTTTACAGATGATTAAACTGAAGCTCAGAGTGGTAACGGGAACTGCCCAAGGTCACATATCTAGTATGTGCCAGAGCCAGGACTAGAACACAGATCTCTTGTCCTTACTCCAGTGTCTTTCCCCGGATTGTGAGAGATAGTAACAAGGGTACTGCTCTCTCTAACCCAGAGCCCATGTAATAATATTAGGGATCCCTTTGTATTGGGATTAGACTTTTTTTTTGTCAGAGAATTTCCCCCAATGCCACATATCCAGAACAAAATTTGTTATCTTTCCCCCTAAATCTACCCTCCCTATTAAACTGCCCCCATTTCTGTCAAGGACATCCTTTGGGTCACCCAGGTTTGTAGCTTCTGAATAATCCAAGATTCTCTTTGATTCTTTCTCCATGTCACTCGTATCTTCTCTCCACAGCCATGACCCTAGTTCAGATGAATCAATAAGAGCATGGTGAAATCCAGCTGGAAGGGCTGGGGTGGCACTGTATTGTAGAAGGCTTTGTTCAGCATGGAATGCTGTGCTGAGAAAGTCATTGTGCTCCCTATGTGGCCAGGCTGATAGGAGCATTCCCGAGGGTCTGGCAAACACTAGAGATGTAGTATATAAACATATGTTATTATATAATGTTTTACACATACACACACACAGTACTTGGCATATAGCAGGTGCCAGACAAGCAAGAATTGGCTTGTTGGCCAATTCTTAGTATCATCCTTCTTCAGATTCTATGT